CAAAAAACGCTGTCATTAACGGGGTTCTTCAATAATGATGCATAATAGTTGTTTGATGCGAATTTAATGTCCAGCTGTGTAGTTATGTGGGAACAATATTGTGCAACATCAGCTGATCCAGGAAAGGATTTTCTGAATGACGGTCAAGTGATAAAGAGCGGGTGTGATACTGCACAGTGAACGGATGAATGTTGATCTGGAGAATTGACAGAACATTTTAATGTCTATGTTGTTATGGCGGTCAAGATAATTAGCCTTTGTGGTGGACAACATTATGTCAAGATTCCTGAGGTAAGATTACGGTCCGTGTAAGTTTTGATAATTTGTTTTCCCGAGTTAAAATGGAGCAATCGGGAACGTTTTTTTTAATTTGTTTTTGAATAGAAATAGAAAAAACAAAAAATGTGCTTGTTTCCGTTTTTGCATATACAACAAAAAAACGTAATATTTCGATTTTCACATGTGGGTGGAGTTAAATGTGGAATGCCTGTCATTGGTTAAGTGCACAGCCAACACTTCCTGTCCGTTAGAAGTAGGAGTTCACCCTTCTAACTTCATTCTATGAATATATTAATCAATTATCTATTCATTAATCGATTAATAGCTGCCCACACCGTACCACAGTGCCAAGATAAAGTACGTTTTCTACATTTCTGCATAAGATTGTGTGTATTGACTTTATTAATGAACTGCTGTTACTGTAAATGGTTAGCTGACTGATATATCTTAGCTACCTAACTAACCATTGGTCATCTTATTCAATGGTGCCATACAGCCAAACAGCAGTATATATTGCTAGGCTAGAGATATGCCCCTAGCTAGTTTATATTTCCACTGTTTACAGCAGGTCTCCAGCTACCCAGACCTGCCTGATAAGGTGCTGTGGGTGTGTCCAGCTTACACCTGTGCAAATCCGTGTGTTTGTATAGCAACGGGAATGAAACATCCAACCAATGCCTCGAGTCGTGTTGCAGGTCCACCACACACCCGGAGGGTTGTGGGGTCCTGTCCAGAAGCAACCCCTATCCCCTACCCTTAGATCTGAGAGATTTGGACAGGCGTAAGCAATACCTCCTAAAATTCCACCAAGCCTATCAGAGGTTAAAGGTGGAGCTCTCACCATGTCACCACCCACCAATCCCTCTCAGATCTCCACAAGTGTCTAGACTCTGGATAGTAGGGGGGTAGGGGTTGTTTCTGGACAAGACATGGGTATTATGGTAGCTCAGTCAGTCAGACAGTCAGTCTGGCAAAGTCTAAAATGTTTAAAGGGGAAGTGCAGTTATTGGTATCATCCCGGCACTACTAGGAGGTCAAAATAATACTGTGAAATTGTGAACGTGATGATAATGCCCTTTTTGTGTAAGAGCTGTTTGAAAAGAAAATCCTGGAATTTCAGCCTGTTCAGGTGGGATGGAAATTTTGGCCCACATTGTGACGTCACAATGTGATCTGATTATAATAGACCAATGACTGTTCATCACTCGATGATATGGCGTGTGGTCCCTCCCACTATAACTCAGGAAACGATGCAGTTTGTTAGGCTACAGATGAAATAAGTTATGATGAACTTCACAGGGTGGTGAAAGTACATAGTGATCTTAATGCTCCTTTACAATAAATATCGGGGTTATTACACTTTACATTTTAGGCATTTAGAGACGCTCTTATCCAGAGGACTTACAGGAGCATTAGGGTAAGTGCCTTGTCAAGGGCACATTACGTCATTTAGCAGACCACTCTTATCAGAGCGACTTACAATTTGGGTTTGCTTCACCCTATGCCAGTGGAAACCACTTACACTTTTTTTTATTTTTTTATTTTTGGGGGGGGGGGGGGGAGTGGAGAAGGATTACTTTATCCTATTATTCTGTTGATCGATGCTTGACTGCCATTTGACAAATACAAATGTTATTGGTCTTATCCACAATAATCTCATCATGTAGACTTGCGGTTGTGAGGCTGGTTGGACGTACTGCCAAATTCTCTAAAATGACGTTGGCAGCGGCTTATGGTAGAGAAGTGAACATTCAATTTTCTAGCAACAGCTCTGGTGGACATTCCTGCAGTCAGCATGCCAATTGCACGCTCCCTCTAAACTTGAGATATCTGTGGCATTGTGTTGAGTGACATAACTGCACATTTTAGAGTGGCCTTATTGTCCACAGCACAAGGTGCACCTGTGTAATGATCATACTGTTTAATCAGCTACTTGATATGCCACACCTGTCAAGTGGATGGATTATCTTGGCAAATGAGAAATGCTCACTGACAGGGATGTAAACAAAGTTGTGCACACAATTTGAGAGAAATACGTTTCTTGTGCTTATGGAACATTTCGGGGATATTTTATTTTACTTTATATGTTGTGTTTATATTTTCCTTCAGTATAGAATAACAGATTTGTCTTGGGTGAAGAGTTTTTTTTTTCATGACAAACTTTAAATGGTGGCTGAATTCCCCTTGAAAGGCCATTTGAATAGCTCAACACAGACAGCCTATAATGGATTAGAAAGTCCACGTATTTGTCATTAACAGCAATCTCCAATTCACTGTCATGTTGTCATTTTCCAAGTATGGTGTATTTAAGTATACATTCGGATGTTAGTTACACTTAAACCCCTTAGTCCCAATATCTCTGTCCCAGGATGTCCGATCCTCACATGGTAAAGTACTTACTTTCCAGAAGTGTCTCTGGGTACATACACTGTCTGAGAAAATTATTTTTGTTTGCTAATGCCCAAGTTTGACCAAATAATAATAATAATAATATGCCATTTAGCAGACGCTTTTATCCAAGCGACTTAAGTCGTGCGTGGCATACATTTTTGTGTTGGGTGGTTCCCGGGGATGAAAACCCACTCCCTTGGCGTACAGGCGTGCTTCTACCAGCTGAGCTACAGAGGACCACAAAGATGATGAACAAGTTGGGTATATGCATGGCTTTAATAATTATGCCAAAAGCAACTATAAATTGTTCATTCCATAGTCTAAGTATGTATGATTAAATAGTCTGTTAGTATAAGTTTGCTCATTGAATTTGTTCAGAACCTGTGACTATCCTACTTGGCTGCTTATACATGTTACCGCTTAAAAATGACATTACATTTTCTATATCTCCGGCCCACAAAGTCAGATTGTTTACGAGGTAAAGTTCTCCTGGTTCAGTGGGGTCTCCCGCAGTTTTCTGAGAGGTTCTTGGTGGCACCACAGACCACAACTGTAGCTGAACACAATTTCTGTATATTTTTGCATGTCTTAAAGCATAATCCCTTGAAAATGTCCTTAAATCAGAATTTTGTATCACCTCGTCACGGTTTGACCAGCCTTTAAACAGGCAAAACAAACTTAAAAAAGCACTTTTTCCAGTTTGGCTGATCTACTATATGGTCAAGAGGGAAAATTGATAACGCACGAGACATTATTGAGCAGGGAGACGAGACATTATTGAGCAGGGAGACGAGACATTATTGAGCAGGGAGACGAGACATTATTGAGCAGGGAGACGAGTCATTATTGAGCAGGGAGACGAGACATTATTGAGCAGGGAGACGAGACATTATTGAGCAGGGAGACGAGACATTTCCGTTTTCATTTTTTTTTTTTTTTATATATCAAGACAAAAAGCAACCGAGATGACAAACATGTAAAAACATTTTTGATACAGATAATTATATAAAAAGGCATTTTTTTGTTTTTTTTTACTTTACTTGCTACGTGAAGGAAGGAACTAATTTACAACTTGAGCTCAAACCCTGGCCGCTGCTGCACCATTCAATCATTCTTCTTCATAACCAACATATCCCACCGCTAGGTAAATAAAAATGCTCTGTTCAAAAAGACATGCATGCCAACTACATGGAAAACATTTGTCACATTACACACACTTGCATACCTAAACATATGTAAAGCAAAGAATAATAATAATAATAATAATAATACACCAAAAGTAATGTCAATGGTTATCAATATCAACAGTTTCTCCACATTTGGGGGCAGAAAATATCCCAGTTTATTCTCAGAACTCTAAATACAAGGCTTGGAAAAAGAACCTTCTAAATTCCATAGATATCAACCAACGAATTCTATGGACTATCAACAGGTTGAGACGAGGAAAGGTGAAAATAAGCTTCTTTTTTTCCTTCTTCTGCAAATCAATTCCTTTAATAATAAAAAAATGACAAAGTAAAACAAAAACAAACCCTCTCCTCTTTCTTTCTGTCAAATCTTACGTTCTGTTGTTCATCTTTTCGCAGCAAGAGCAAGTACAAAAAGAGCTCATTATTTAACGGTTCGTTACACCACCAATTCTGAAATAACTTGTCAAATTACCCGTCGAATAGGGTCATAGAAAAAAAAAAAAAAAATGGTACTGTTTCACCCTGGCTGGCAGTCAGTCAGTGTCCACACATCCTCCAATGAAAAAGGAAAATCAGAGTAGATGGTCAACTAGAGGATGAGAATCCCAAAGCTACATCAAAACACACTTCTTTACTCGAAATGAAACTCTCGTTTCCTTTACTCGCCCCCCCCTGTGACATTAGTACGCATGAACACAGTGACGTCACAAAGCAAGACGAAAGCCAGGGCAAATATGGAGTCTTGATCGGTTGATGATGATGATGATGATGATGATGATTCCCCTTGAATGGAAAACACTGGTCATCCCCAAGTGCTGTCTGTTTTCCATTGGTGTGTTTTCCTCCCCATGACAACGTGATGCTGTGTTCTTCTGTTCCAATCGTCTCCTATTGCAACCATCTGATCCTTCTAAATGTGACCAATCGACCGGGGAGGGGAAAAGCATGGTACAGAAACTAAAAGAACTAACAAGCAACTACAGTTAAAGCGGACTTTTAACAGTTTTTTTGTATTTTTTGATTTCACAGAAAATCATATCAAAGAAAAGAAAAAAAAAGCAAGAAAATGTAATTATGTGCTTTCAACCATTTTAACATAAGAAGAAAACACCAATAATAATCAGATAAAGAAGAAGAGGTTTAAATAAGGTGTCCATGGCACCACAACCTCCAGGGATGAGGGCAGGGCTCTGGGATGATTTTCATCTGGATTTTTCTTGTGGCTATTTTGTGAATGATGGGTGGTTGGGGGGGCTGGTCTGGGTCCAGGTTGGGGCTGAGGTTGAGGCTGGGATACTGTAGATAGTTGGGTGAGGGGTCTTGGTGAGGGCTGGGGTGTTGTATTCAGTAGGAAGGTGTTGTATTCAGTTCAGTCATAGTCATCATGGACAACAAGGGGAGAGGAAGGAAAACCCCTTACTGGTCTGATCTGGCCTTCTTTGGACCAGCAGCTTTCCTAAAGGAGGAGAGAAAACGTGATTCAACAGATGAACATCGATGGGGCTGCAGAGTTAAGAGTCATGAGAGAGAGTTAAGAAGTTAAGCCCGAGGGCCGAGCAGAGAGCACATGATGCAAAATGCATTATACCGGCTGTATTTCTGTATTTTGAAAGTTCAATATCTTGAAAACTTTATTGCTGACATGCAAAACGTTTTGGGACTGCATCAACACCGGACTAATTAAACAAATACCCAAATATTGTTTTTTTGAGTGGAATTAAGTGAAGTTAAGAATGATGACAGAGGGGTGGACTGGCTTGATCACAACCCACTACTGAAGTACTTTGTTCAAATAGTTTTGTATTTCCCGAATAAATTCATAGCATTTTTAGGAATGTACAGTTAAATAACTATTATTTAATGTGGATAAGAGGATGAACAGTACTCACATGTCAGGCGAGGAGCCTGGTCTCTTGGCAGTGGGCTTCGCCGCAACACCATCTTTACCTATCTCTACAGGGAGAGAAGATAACACGGGATTGGAATGATATATTTATTTGAAATAGCACTTTTCGTTACAACGAGAATCTCAAAGACGCTTTAAAAACTGAAAAGTAAAGCTTAGTCAAAGACTACGGTGGCAAACACGTTAGCCTTTTTAAATAAAAAGAGCATCATGAAGTACGGTTGCCGCCATCCTTCGGTGTATCTCGTTGCCCTCCGTTTTTTGGGGAAGGTTTAGTATTACAGTTATGATTGTGTTCATACAAAAGAAACAAACTAACAATCTTCATTTCAATATATCAAGGTCAACACAAGTCAAGTTGGGATGTGGCCCAAGGGACCTCCCGAGTGGCGCAGTGGTGCTGTGCCACTAGAGATCCTGGTTCGAATCCAGGGTCTGTCGTAGCCGGCCGCGACCGGGAGACCCATGGGGGCGGCGCACAATTGGCCCAGCGTCGTCCAGGGTAGGGGAGGGAATGGCCGGCAGGGATGTAGCTCAGTTGGTAGAGCATGGCGTTTGCAACGCCAGGGTTGTGGGTTCGATTCCAGTATAAAATATAAAAAAATTATGCACTCACTAACTGTAAGTCGCTCTGGATAAGAGCGTCTGCTAAATGACTAACATGTAAAAATGTAAATTACAAATAACCCTACTGGTATAATAGAACATCAACCTTTTATTTTCTTCTTTGAACCTTCATTTATATTTATTTCTACAGGGAATTCCTTTTGAGATCAATGAGCCCTGCTTCACTAAAAGCAGCACAACTACACAAAGTCCACAACAGTTGTAACAATAGAGCCGCTGAGGAAAGCTAGGCCTAGCGTAACATAGCGTAACGTACCTTGGAGCCACCGGACCTGCGTGGCAGGGCCGTAACCCTTCTCGTTGCGGGCTGCGATGCGGAAGATGATGGCAGGCTTGGTGGTGTAGTCTATGTGTGCGTTGGAGAGGCTGGACGACTGCACCAGGCAGGAGGGGTTTGGCCCACAGAACACCCGCATGAAGGCCAGCTGGGCTGGGGTGGTGGTGCTGGGCTTGGCCTGCTCTCCGCTCTGGGTGCTCTGGATGGCCAGGTACACGGAGTACTCAATGATCTTACCAGACGTTACCGACGGAGGCTCCCAGGTCAGGTGGGCTCCGTCTGGGCTCTGAGGGGAGAGAGGATAGGGGTGGCGTGGGGAGGGGGGGAAACTTTAGACAAACTCCAGTGAGACAGAAACTAGACAACGTAACAAAGCGTTTTCTGACATGGTGTGTTCTGAGCTATGAACACAAATTCATAGAAACATGGCGAAATAAAAACATGCATGAAACATTAAATAACGCTCCCTGGGTAAAGGATGTTCAAAAACGTGTTCTTAACCGACTTCCTGGTTAAATAAATACACTGAACAAAAATATCAACGCAGCATGCAACAATTTCAACGATTTTACTGAGTTACAGTTCATAAAAGTTAATTAGGCCCTAATCTATGGATTTCACATGACTGGGAATACAGATTTGCATCTGTTGGTCACCATTTGCCTCATGCAGCGCGACACATCTCCTTCGCATAGAGTTGATCAGGCTGTTGATTGTGGCCTGTGGAATGTTATCCCACTCCTCTTCAATGGCTGTGAGAAGTTGCTAGATATTGGCGGGAAATGGAACACGCTGTCCTACACGTCGATCCAGAGCATCCCAAACATGCTCAATGGGTGACATGTCTGGTGAGTATGCAGGCCATGGGACATTTTCAGCTTACAGGAATTGTGTACAGATCCTTGCGACATGGGGCTGTGCAGTATCATGCTGAAACATGAGGTGATGGCGGCGGATGAATGGCACGACAATGGGCCTCAGGATCTCGTCACGGTATCTCTGTGCATTCAAACTGCCATCGATAAAAAGCAATTGTGTTCGTTGTCCGTAGCTTATGCCTGCCCATACCATAACCCCACCGCCACCATGGGGCACTCTGTTCCACAACGTTGACATCAGCAAACCGCTCACCCACACGACGCCATACAGGCTGTCTACCATCTGCCTGGTACAGTTGAAACTGGGATTAATCCGTGAAGAGCGCACTTCTCCATCATGCCAGTGGCCATCGAAGGTGAGCATTTGCCCACTGAAGTCGGTTACGACTCCGAACTGCAGTCAGGTGAAGACCCTGGTGAGGACGACGAGCACGCAGATGAGCTTCCCTGAGACGGTTTCTGACAGTTTTGTGCAGAAATTATTCGGTTGTGCAATCCCACAGTTTCATCAGCTGTCTCGTCTCAGATGATCCCGCAGGTGACGAAGCCGGATGTGGAGGTCCTGGGCTGGTGTGGTTACACGTGGTCTGGGGTTGTGAGGCCGGTTGGACGTACTGCCAAATTCTCTAAAACGACGTTGGAGGCAGCTTATGGCAGATAAATTAATATTCAATTCTCTGGCAACAGCTCTGGTGGACATTCCTGCAGTCAGCATGCCAATTGCACGCTCCCTTGACAACTTGACATCTGTGGCAAAAATTAAAATGTGTTACCTTGCTGATCTTGATAGCACAGGGAGCTCCGGGGAAGCCTGGTAGACAGGTCTTGAAGGCTGAGACCTCTGAGAAGTTCCCCCGGCCACAGGTGTTGATCCCGGCCACTCTGAACTTATAGGCCGTCCCTGGCTGGAGGTCCATCTTCTTCATCTGACTGTAGTCTGGGATCGCCCCAGAGTCATCCTACAACAACGAGACAAGTTCAGCCACACACAACAACGAGATAAAATTAAACCAAGTCTATTGGTCGCGTAAACAGATTTGCAGATGTTTTCATAAGGGTGCAGCTAAACGCTTGTGTTTCTAGTTCCAACAGTACAGTAATACCCAGCTATACAAAACAATACACACATAATCCAAAAGAAATACCAGAACAAGCATTGTGTATGTATGTATGTATGTATGTATGTATGTATGTATGTATGTATGTATGTATGTATGTATGTATGTATGTATGTATGTATGTATATTTATTTATTACCCACTACCAGTCAAAAGTTTGGACACATCTACTCATTCAAGGGTTTTTCTTTATTTTTTTAAACTATTTTCTACATTGTAGAATAATAGTGAAGACATCAAAACTACGAAATAACACATATGGAATCATGTAGTGACCAAAAAAAGTGTTAAACAAATCAAAATTCTTCAAGGTTCTTCAAAGTAGCCACCCTTTGCCTTGATGACAGCTTTGCACACTCTTGGCATTCTCTCAACCAGCGTGTGGATATTTTATATCATTTCACAAACTATGTCGCGGGCCATTTTTAAACAAATCCCGGGTGGCTAATTATTGGTTTGATAAACAAACAACGTTGTTCAGTCATGTTACCTAGCTAGCTAACATCCTGGTAACGTGACAGTAGGGGCTCATCTGATTGGCCCAGGGGATGTGATTCAGAGGTAGGATTCATACAGACCTATTGGAAGACTAAACTACATCAAACATCCATTTATTTCTGGTGCTCCTTAAATTCTGTTTGGTGCCTAACGTTTTAAAAGTTGGGAGCAGTGTGCGTGTGTGTGTTGTGTGAGAGAGAGAGTGGTGTGTGTGTGTTTATGAGAGTGAGGGAGACAGTGTGTAAGGAAGGGAGGGAGAGTGTGTGTGTGTGGTGTGTGTGTGTGTGTGCGTGTGTTTGTGTGAGAGAGAGAGTGGTGTGTGTGTGTTTATGAGAGTGAGGGAGACAGTGTGTAAGGAAGGGAGGGAGAGTGTGTGTTTATGAGAGTGAGGGAGACAGTGTGTAAGGAAGGGAGGAGATTGGTGTGTGTTGTGTGTGTGTGTGTGTGTGTGGTGTTGTGTGTGTGTGTGGTGTGGTGTGTGTGGTGTGTTTGTGTGAGAGAGAGAGTGGTGTGTGTGTGTTTATGAGGGTGAGGGAGACAGTGTGTAAGGAAGGAAGGGAGGGAGAGTGTGTGTGTGTGTGTGTGTGTGGTGTGTGTGTGTGTGTGTGTGTGTGTTTATGAGAGTGAGGGAGACAGTGTGTAAGGAAGGGAGGGAGAGTGTGTGTGTGTGTGTGTGTGTGTGTGTGTGTGTGTGTGTGTGTGTGTGTCAAAGGAAGAGTAAAGGTTTCATGCAGTGTTATTTCCCCTTACTGACACAACGACAAGCAGATCATTATGCACGTATATCACAGGAGGTTGGGGAGAACGGGCTCGTGGTTAATTGCATCACATACATGGTTCTATACGTTGATGCCATTCAATTTTGCGTCGTTCCAGCCATTATTATGAGCCGTCCTCCCTTCAGCAGCCTCCACTGGTGCACATTCCTTCCTCACATTCCTCCAGCCAAACCACAGGCAGGCCTGGCCTTTGCAAATATGAGCAAATCAACCATTCTACGCAGCATTCTATTATACACTGAACAGTGTGAAGTCAAATTCAAATGTGTTGTATTGAGTAGAAGTGTGCATTTCAGTGACAGGTTTTTGGAGAACGTTTAGAAAACCTGAACAAGCGTCTGGGGGACCAGGGCGAACAGGATGCTGGGCCCACTGATATTTTTGTTTGTATCGTGACAAGCCTAATAAGTACAGGAGATGTGTTGATAGAAATTCGGTACCGTTTTCCTCAGATTTCCTTTATTAAAGTCCCAAGCTACAATAAATGCGGCCTCAGGATATGCGTTTTCCTGTTTGCACATAGTCCAGCGTAGTTCCTGGAGAGCCGTCGCGCTGTCGGTTTGGGCGGGAACGTACATGGCAGTGACGATGACCGAAGAACATTTTCTCGGGAGGCATTTGAAGGCGAGGTATTCCATATTGGGAGAACAAAAGGACTTGAGTTCCTGTACGTTACCACAATTATTATGAATCATAAAACAAACCCCTACACCATTATTTTTCTCTGAGAGTTCTTTCTTCCTGTCCCGCGCGACGCACAGAGAACCCCGCTGGCTGACTGGACAACATATCCAGAGAGAGCCATGATTCCGTAAAACAGAATATGTTACAGTCCCTGATGTCTCTCTGGAAGGAGATCCTCGCCCTGAGCTCGTCTACTTCATTATCCAGGGACTGAACGTTAGCGAATAATATAATCAGAAGCGGTGGAACCGCCTTCTCCGGTGTCGGTATTTTGGAGCAGCCCCCGGGATGAATAGAGCAGGAAGTTTAAACAAAGGACCTAGCTCGAAGGTGGAATTTCGGCTTGAATTTCTGGCGAGTGACTGCCGATCTAATATCCCAAAGTTATTTCCGGTAATAATACAACAACAAAAACGTTCAAATAATGTGAGACGAAAAAAATAAAACTACTGAAAAGTTGGAAACAGGGCGACCATGTCCGTCGGCGCCATCTAGTAATAAAAAAAAAGTAATCTTTATTTACCTACGTATTTCATTTGCTTGATCTTTACCTTATTGTAAAGCATCGCTGGGGCGAATACTTTTATTTTTTCCCAGCAGGGACCACATACCCATAATAAAAATGTATGCACTTACTGTACTGTAAGGCGCTTAGGATCGAAGAGTATGCTAAGTGGTATACATTAAAGCACTACAAAGAATTTATTCTTCACACGCTCTCTTCTCGACCTCCTCAAAACATTGGATGAGAAGGTCAGAAGGGAGTGACCTTGGATGTTTTCCTCCAATGAGGATGAGCCAGCACGTGAAAGAGCCCTAGAAAAGCGCTATATAAAACCCAATGCATTATTATATATTTTTTCAAACATTTTCAAGCGAAGGTCCTTTTAAGGGAGTATGCGAGCACACACGGCAGCCGAACTGAAGCCTTTAGAGTCTTACATCGACAGTGGCCTGGTCGTCAGCAGGTAGTGTGTGTGTGTGTGTGTGTGTGTGTGTGTGGTGTGTGGTGTGTGTGTCTTACATCGACAGTGGCCTGGTCGTCAGCAGGTAGTGTGTGTGTGTGTGTGTGTCTTACATCGACAGTGGCCTGGTCGTCAGTGGGCAAGTAGTAGTGTGTGACCACGGTGTTGGTCACCTTGACGATGCCAACGTCAAACCACTGGTTTTCTTTCTTCACCGGGGCTTTGGCCACCGCAGGAGGAGCTCCTTGCCTCTAAATAAACAATATGGGAGCATTAGAAGACAATATAATATGGGAGTATTAGAAGACAATATAATATGGGAGCATTAGAAGACAATATAATATGGGAGTATTAGAAGACAATATAATATGGGAGTATTAGAAGACAATATAATATGGGAGTATTAGAAGACAATATAATATGGGAGTATTAGAAGACAATATAATATGGGAGCATTAGAAGACAATATAATATGGGAGTATTAGAAGACAATATAATATGGGAGTATTAGAAGACAATATAATATGGGAGTATTAGAAGACAATATAATATGGGAGTATTAGAAGACAATATAATATGGGAGTATTAGAAGACAATATAATATGGGAGTATTAGAAGACAATATAATATGGGAGTATTAGAAGACAATATAATATGGGAGTATTAGAAGACAATATAATATGGGAGTATTAGAAGACAATATAATATGGGAGTATTAGAAGACAATATAATATGGGAGTATTAGAAGACAATATAATATGGGAGTATTAGAAGACAATATAATATGGGAGTATTAGAAGACAATATAATATGGGAGTATTAGAAGACAATATAATATGGGAGTATTAGAAGACAATATAATATGGGAGTATTAGAAGACAATATAATATGGGAGTATTAGAAGACAATATAATATGGGAGTATTAGAAGACAATATGGGAGTATTAGAAGACAATATAATATGGGAGTATTAGAAGACAATATAATATGGGAGTATTAGAAGACAATATAATATGGGAGTATTAGAAGACAATATAATATGGGAGTATTAGAAGACAATATAATATGGGAGTATTAGAAGACAATATAATATGGGAGTATTAGAAGACAATATCATATGGGAGTATTAGAAGACAATATAATAAGCATCCTTTAACATCTGTCTGGAAATAGGGTTAAAAAAATAATATGTGGACTGTAATAATTCTATATTGACAATAAAATATTCTACTTATTCAGAAAACTAATTATTTTACAGTATCAAGAGGCAAATCATGATTGACTGGTCAACAGACAGACAGACATTCTGACACAGTCCAGTCCACTCACCCCTGCAGCAGACTCTATGCCGTTAGCCACCTCTGCCAGGGTAGCAGCTGCCTGCATCTTAGCCGGGCTGGCCACAATCATGGGTTGAGTCTTAGCCGGGCTGGCCACAATCATAGGCTGAGTCTTAGCCGGGCTGGCCACAACCATGGGCTGAGTCTTAGCCGGGCTGGCCACAATCATGGGCTGAGTCTTAGCCGGGCTGGCCACCACCATTGGCTGAGTCTTAGCCGGGCTGGCCACCACCATGGTGCATGTTGGGGCTAGCTGGGCCGCAGCCTGGGTCACTGCAGCAGCCAGCTCCTGCCCGTTGCTCTCCGACGCTGGGTCGTTCAGGCTGTCTGCTGGGGCCAGGCCCTCGGTGGGCTGGGTCAAATAAAACTTCATTTATTTAGCACATTTCTTACAAAACAATTCAGTTCAAAGTGCATACTTAAAGCTAAATCCAAGAATAAAAAAAGAGAGCAAGCCAAAAACAATACATTTATAGAGTCATATGTAACGATTCACCGATACGCATCGGTCCCCCGGTTATAATGTTTAACATATGAGTGCATTGGTCCGCGGGACACCAAACCAAACCAAAATGTAGCATGCATCGGTCAGGAAATCAATTAAAACGTTACGAATTGCCGGTTCACATTATTTTCCATCCAAAGTTACTTTATTTCCATCTTCCAAAAAACTCATATTTTGTGACAAATGCGTCCTCTCCTTCAGCGTCAAACTAAGCATGAAACTGGGAGCTTGCTACAGCCCTTCTTACACGGGTTTGTACTTAGGTAAATGGGAAAATGACTTCATTTTGGATCCTTCAAAAAAAAAACAAAAAAAAAAACGGTTATTTGACCAGATTATATGGTGGAGACGCTATATTGATGTTTGACTGTTCTGGTCTGGCTCAGAAGATTAATTTATTTCCTTCCACCAATACCTTAACAGCATTAACCCTAACATCAAACTAACTATGGAGTACAGCAAGGATAACATTCATTTTTTTGGACCTTGATATCAGTAAAGACGACAAAGGTTGTTTGCACAAATACATCTTTAGGAAGCCTATAGATGGGATCCCATTCTGAGGGCAGACAGCTTCCACCCAAAAAAGGCTAAAAGAGAACATTCCAAAGAGTCCGCAGAATTTGCGATCAGGAAACAGACTACAGCAGTTTCTAATCTGCCGAATTGGAGAATCGCTTCTTGAACCGGGGCTATAGGGCTCAGGTCCTGAACGATGCAGTCGAAGGGCCGGACGACTTGACAGAGAGAACTTGTTTGCGAAGGGGAGCACCTCGTGACGCACCAGAGAGTGTACTTTGTTACAAAGCTCTGAAGCATTAAAATAATCATTAAAAAAGAGTTGGGGAATCATCCAAAGTGATACGCTAGTACGCCAAGTCTTCATAAAGCTACCATAAAATGACAGCTACCTTCCTGGTGACTCTCAAAAGACTTGGCTAGACCACAAACCCAGGGGCTCTTTTAAATGCAACCTGTGCAGAAATAGCGCACAGAAAAAGTATTTTGTTGACACAGCTTCTAGGACAGCCTACTCCAAGACCTCTCCATCACGGTTGACAACTCTACGGAGTGCAGAGAACATTGGTGTGACCCTGGACAACACCCTGTCGTTCTCTGCAAACGTCAAACATCAAAGCGGTGACTCGCTCCTGTAGGTTAAGCAAATCAAATTTTAATTTGTCACATACACGTGTTTAGCAGATGTTATTGCGGGTGTAGCAAAGTGCTTCTAGCTCCGACAGTGCAGTAATATCTAACAAGTACATTTACATATGGTTTCCAGTTTGCATAAAGTCCAGTGAAGTTATTTGAGGGCCGTCGTGGTATCGGCTTGAGGGAGGATATACGCGGCCGTGACAATAACCTAAGAAAATATTATCTTGAGAGATAATACGGTCGGCATTTGATTGTGATGTATTCTGGGTCGGGTGAACAAAAGGACTTGAGTTCCTGTATGTTACTACAATTACACCACGAGTCGTTAATCATGAAACAAACACCTTCGCCCTTCTGCTTCCCGATGAACTGGGAACCCATCTGGTTCGACCGATTTCGACAGAATATCCCAAGAGAGCCATGTTTCCGTGAAACAAAGTATGTTACAGGCCCTGATGTCTCTCTGGAAAGAAATCCTTGCCCTGAGCTCGTCGACTTTGTTATCCAGAGACTGAACATTAGCGAGTAGAATACTTGGAAGCGGTGGGTGGTGTGCTCCTAAGATGAACCAGCAGGCTGCTCCGAGTGCCTCTCTTCCACCGGCGATGTTTTGGGTCAGCCGCTGGAATCAGATTCCCAGTTTCCCCCCTAACTGATAGTGAGGTGGTAGATTCCCAGTTTCCCCCCCTAACTGATAGTGAGGTGGTATGATTCCAGTTTCCCCCCTAACTGATAGTGAGGTGGTAGATTCCCAGTTTCCCCCCCTAACTGATAGTGAGGTGGTAGATTCCCAGTTTTCCCCCTAACTGATAGTGAGGTGGTAGATTCCCAGTTTCCCCCCTAACTGATAGTGAGGTGGTAGATTCCCAGTTTTCCCCCCTAACTGATAGTGAGGTGGTAGATTCCCAGTTTCCCCCCTAACTGATAGTGGGGGGGTAGATTCCCAGTTTCCCCCCTAACTGATAGTGGGGGGGGTAGATTCCCAGTTTCCCCCCTAACTGATAGTGAGGTGGTAGATTCCCAGTTTCCCCCCTAGCTGATAGTGAGGTGGTAGATTCCCAGTTTCCCCCCTAACTGATAGTGAGGTGGTAGATTCCCAGTTTCCCCCCTAACTGATAGTGAGGTGGTAGATTCCCAGTTTCCCCCCTAACTGATAGTGGGGTGGTAGATTCCCAGTTTCCCCCCTAACTGATAGTGAGGTGGTAGATTCCCAGTTTCCCCCCTAACTGATAGTGAGGTGGTAGATTCCCAGTTTCCCCCCTAACTGATAGTGAGGTGGTAGATTCCCAGTTTCCCCCCTAACTGATAGTGGGGTGGTAGATTCCCAGTTTCCCCCCTAACTGATAGTGAGGTGGTAGATTCCCAGTTTCCCCCCTAACTGATAGTGAGGTGGTAGATTCCCAGTTTCCCCCCTAACTGATAGTGGGGTGGTAGATTCCCAGTTTCCCCCCTAACTGATAGTGAGGTGGTAGATTCCCAGTTTCCCCCCTAACTGATAGTGAGGTGGTAGATTCCCAGTTTCCCCCCTAACTGATAGTGAGGTGGTAGATTCCTACATACACCTTATACATTGTTTACAAATACAGTCAGTCAGCTCAGACAGGCCCAGTTTAAACAGATCCAGGTCAGACAGATCCAGCTCAGACAGATCCAGCTCAGACAGATCCAGCTCAGACAGATCCAGCTCAGACAGATCCAGCTCAGAGAGATCCAGCTCAGACAGATCCAGCTCAGAGAGATCCAGCTCAGAGAGATCCAGCTCAGAGAGATCCAGCTCAGAGAGATCCAGTTCAGAGAGATCCAGCTCAGAGAGGCCCAGCTCATGAGTTCCCAGCTCATGAGTTCCCTCAGCAGCAGATTTTAATTTAGAATGGAAAATGAATGTGTTTATGCAACAAACTTTAAATCAAATCAAATCGTTCCTCTAATCAAACAAAATCGCTCTGAATCGTTTCAAATTAAAACGTATGTTTCCTGTATGGTATCAGAGTCCATGTACCTAGATACGTATGGATCCTGTACCGAATTGGAGCCCGCGTATCTAGATACGTATCAAATCATCTTGAAAAGGGAAAGATGCACATCCCTACAAATACGAAAAATAAATGAACAGAGTGAGACAAGACAGACTGACGGAAGAGAAGCAAAACAACAGTGGACTGACCTGGTTGCGCTGTGCGGCTGCTGCCTGGGCCTGGGCCTGGGCCTGGGCCTGAGCCTGAGCCTGGGCCTGGGCCTGAGCCTGCTGCAGCTGTTGTTGTTGTAGAACCAGGGCTGCCAGCTCAGCCTGAGTCAACACAATGGGGATGTTGGTGGTCTGATGCTGGCCCTCCTGGCCACTGTCTCCTTCATCTGGAGGAGGGGGGTGGGGGGTGGGGGGGGGGGGGGGGGGGGGTGAGACTCATTACAATCTACTAGACTACTAACTAGGGCTGGGTGACATCAATCAAGACATATCTATTAATTTAAATGTATGTTTTTGCACGACATTCCAAATGCCTGTATTGCAATGAATCAAGTGTTATTTTTCTTTTTTATGAATTTTTAAAGTACGCTTGTTCTCATTTAGTATTTTTGGTATCATCCCCTTCGCTCCTTCTGACTGTAGGCTGCTCCTTCCAATTTACACACACACACACACACACACACACACACACACACACAACAAAGATGAGATCACTTATTCCTCTGACAAGCAGTTTCAACTCGCCATTTGCATTTGAGGTTTGGTCCAACAGAACTGAAAAGCATTGAGACATTATTTTACTGTATAAAGAGATGTTCAACTTACTAACGATACCATTCTTATGTTTCAACTCCTCAAATTGCGCGCAGAGCAGACACTACTAAAACGGGAGTATAAATGAACATTGATTCTGGAAAATTAATTCTCAGTTTGCGCCGCTAGCAGCATTTAAGCGAAGTACCATTACACTACATTTACATACATTTTAGTCATTTAGCAGACGCTCTTATCCAGAGCGACTTACAGGAGCAATTAGGGTTAAGTGCCTTGCTCTAGGGCACATCGACAGATTTTTCACCTAGTCGGCTCGGGGATTAGAACCAGCGACCTTTCGGTTACTGGCACAACGCTCTTAACCACTAAGCTACCTGCCGCCCCTCACTAGCCGTCTAGTCCGTTATATAAAATGTACAGCACGCATAAAACACAAATTATATAAGGAATTTGAAAACACATCAGTTCCAACCATCTTAAACCAGTCCTTGGAGAACCACATCATTTCCAACCATCTTAAACCAGTCCTTGGAGAACCACATCATTTCCAACCATCTTAAACCAGTACTTGGAGAACCACATCATTTCCAACCATCTTAAACCAGTCCTTGGAGAACCACATCATTTCCAACCATCTTAAACCAGTCCTTGGAGAACCACATCATTTCCAACTAGTCAACTAATCTGCTAGCATGCTGTTAATGAGGTAAATCAGGTGTGCCATTGTTGTCATGGCGTCAGATAATTGGGATCCAAAATAAAAGATACGTTTTAGAATTTCTGAAATATGTGGAACAGCAGGTGATGCCATATCACAATACACCTACAGCTGTAACCCAGTTCCTGTTGTGTCCATCTACTGTATGACCAGGACCTGTCTGTGTGTGTGTGTGTGTGTGTGTGTGTGTGTGTGTGTGTGTGTGTGTGTACTCACACATGACAGCGTGCTGTGCGGCCTGCAGCACAGCCTGTATGGCCATGGCCTGGGCGTTAGCCTCCTCCGTAGCAGCGTGCTGTGCTGCCTCCTCGGCTGCAGCGGTAACAGCCAGCTCCTCGGGGGTTAAACCCGTCACCATCAGGGTCTGGTTGTCCCCCGCGTCACCTTCAGACATCAGCTCCGCAGGCAGGCCCTAAGAGACAAACAAAACTTTAATTAAATGTTACTGAAAAGATGTTTGTTAGCACACAATGCAGTCGTTCGTGTGTGGTTCTGTGTGTACACTGACAAGGTTAGAAATAATGATTTTTAATTGAAATAATATAATTGTGTCCTTCAAACTTTGCTTTCGTCAAAGAATCCTCCATTTGCAGCAATTACAGCCTTGTAGACCTTTTGGCATTCTAGTTTTCAATTTGATGAGGTAATCTGAAGAGATTTCACCCCATGCTTCCTGAAGCACCTCCCACAAGTTGGATTGGCTTGATGGGCACTTCTTACGTGCCATACGGTCAAGTTGCTCCCACAACAGCTCAATAGGTTTGAGATCCGGTGACTGTGCAAATTATTTTCTTCTGTAACTCGTCAGTCTGTTCTTGTTCTGATAAATGAAGGCTATTCCATGCAGGAAATTGCCAAGAAACTGAAGATCTCGTACAACGCTGTGTACTACTCCCTTCACAGAACAGCGCAAACTGGCTCTAACCAGAATAGAAAGAGGAGTGGGAGGCCCCGGTGCACAACTGAGCAAGAGGACAAATACATTAGTGTCTAGTTTGAGAAACAGACGCCTCACAGGTCCTCAACTGGCAGCTTCATTAAATTGTACCCGCAAAACACCAGTCTCAACGTCTACAATGAAGAGGCGACTCTGGGATGCTGACCTTCTAGGCAGAGTTGCAAAGAAAAAGCCATATCTCAGACTGGCCAATAAAAAGAAAAGATTAAGATGGGCAAAAGAACACTGGACAGAGGAAGATTGGGAAAAAGAGTGATATAGACAGACGAATCGAAGTTTGAGGTGTTCGGATCACAAAGAAGAACATTTGTGAGACACAGACCAAATGAAAAGATGCTGGAGGAGTGCTTGATGCCATCTGTCAAGCATGATGGAGGCAATGTGATGGTCTGGGGGTGCTTTGGTGGTGGTAAAGTGGGAGATTTGTACAGGGTAAAAGGGATCTTGAAGAAGGAAGGCTGTCACTCCATTTTGCAACGCCATGCCCTGTGGACGGCGCTTGATTTGAGCCAATTTCCTCCTACAATAGGACAATGACCCAAAGCACAGCTCCAAACTATGCAAGAACTATTTAGAGAAGAAGCAGTCAGCTGGTATTCTGTCTATAATGGAGTGGCCAGCACAGTCACCGGATCTCAACCCTATTGAGCTGTTGTGGGTGCAGCTTGACCGTACGGTACGTAAGAAGTGCCCATCAAGCCAATCCAACTTGTGGGAGGTGCTTCAGGAAGCATGGGGTAAAATCTCTTCATATTACCTCAACAAATTGACAACGAGAATGCCAAAGGTCTGCAAGGCTGTAATTGCTGCAAATGGAGGATTATTTGACGAAAGCAAAGTTTGAAGGACACAATTATTATTTCAATTAAAAATCATTATTTCTAACCTTGTCAATGACTACATTTCCTATTCATTTTGCTATATTTCCTATTCAAACTCATTTCATGTATGTTTTCATGGAAAACAAGGACATTTCTAAGTGACCCCAAACTTTTGAACGGTAGTGGGGGAAAAAAGTATTTAGTCAGCCACCAATTGTGCAAGTTCTCCCACTTAAAAAGATGAGAGGCCTGTAATTTTCATCATAGGTACACGTCAACTATGACAGACAAATTAAGAATTTTTCTTCCAGAAAATCACATTGTAGGATTTTTTATGAATTTATTTGCAAATCATGGTGGAAAATAAGTATTTGGTCAACTACAAACAAGCAAGATTTCTGGCTCTCACAGACCTGTAACTTCTTCTTTAAGAGGCTCCTCTGTCCTCCACTCGTTACCTGTATTAATGGCACCTGTTTGAACTTGTTATCAGTATAAAAGACACCTGTCCACAACCTCAAAGAGTTACACTCCAAACTCCACTATGGCCAAGACCAAAGAGCTGTCAAAGGACACCAGAAACAAAATTGTAGACCTGCACCAGGCTGGGAAGACTGAATCTGCAATAGGTAAGCAGCTTGGTTTGAAGAAATCAACTGTGGGAGCAATTATTAGGAAATGGAAGACATACAAGACCACTGATAATCTCCCTCGATCTGGGGCTTCAAGCAAGATCTCACCCCGTGGGGTCAAAATGATCACAAGAACGGTGAAAGTAACCAAAGTAACAAAGTAACAAAGCCTACCATCAGTAACACACTACGCCGCCAGGGACTCAAATCCTGCAGTGCAAGACGTGTCCCCCTGCTTAAGCCAGTACATGTCCAGGCCCGTCTGAAGTTTGCTAGAGTGCATTCGGATGATCCAGAAGAGGATTGGGAGAATGTCATATGGTCAGATGAAACCAAAATATAACTTTGTGGTAAAAACTCAACTCGTCGTGTTTGGAGGACAAAGAATGCTGAGTTGCATCCAAAGAACACCATACCTACTGTGAAGCATGGGGGTGGAAACATCATGCTTTGGGACTGTTTTTCTGCAAAGGGACCAGAACGACTGATCCGTATAAAGGAAAGAATGAATGGGGCCATGTATCGTGAGATTTTGAGTGAAAACCTCCTTCCATCAGCAAGGGCATTGAAGATGAAACGTGGCTGGGTCTTTCAGCATGACAATGATCCCAAACACACCGCCCGGGCAATGAAGGAGTGGCTTCGTAAGAAGCATTTCAAGGTCCTGGAGTGGCCTAGCCAGTCTCCAGATCTCAACCCCATAGAAAATCCTTGGAAGGAGTTGAAAGTCCGTGTTGCCCAGCGACAGCCCCAAAACATCACTGCTCTAGAGGAGATCAGCATGGAGGAATGGGCCAAAATACCAGCAACAGTGTGTGAAAACCTTGTGAAGACTTACAGAAAACGTTTGACCTGTGTCATTGCCAACAAAGGGTATATAACAAAGTATTCAGAAACTTTTGTTATTGACCAGATACTTATTGTCCACCATAATTTGCAAATAAATTCATTAAAAATCCTACAATGTGATTTTCTCCTCATTTTGTCTGTCATAGTTGACGTGTACCTATGATGAAAATCATCTTTTTAAGTGGGAGAACTTGCACAATTGGTGGCTGACTAAATACTTTTTTTCCCCACTGTATGTGTGGTACTGTATGTATATATGTGTGGTACTGTATGTATATATGTGTGGTACTGTATGTATATATGTGTGGTACTGTATGTATTGTAATGTACCTCCTGCTCCCCCTGGTTCTGTTCCTCCATGCCCTCCACATGGACCTGTATCCCAGCTGCAGCAGCCTCCTCCAGGGTCACAACCCTCACGGTGCCCTCTGGGAGAGAGTCAGTCTGCATGGCCTCCTCCCCCTCTATACACGCCGCGGCCATCGCCTCAGACGACCCAGACATCGACGAGATCTCCTGGTGGAAGGAAGAAGGAAAGAGAAAGGGTTGGGTTAGGGAGAGAAAGGGTTGGGTTAGGGAGAGAAAGGGTTGGTTGAAGGAGAGAAGGGTTGGGTAAGGAAAGAACGGTTGGGTTAAGGAAAGAACGGGGGTTTAAGGAAATTAAGGAAAGAAAGGGTGGGTTAGGGAAAGAAAGGGTTTTGGTTTTAGGGAAAGAAAGGAGTTGGTTAACGAAAGAAAGGGTTGGGTTAAGGAAACGAAAGGGTTGTGTTAAGGAAAAAAGAGAAAAAGGGTTGGTTAAGAAAGAAAGGGTTGGGTTAGGGAAGAAAGGGTTGGGTTAGGGAAAGGGTTGTAGAAGAAGGGGTTTGGGGTTAAGGAAAGAAAGGGTTGGGTTAAGGAAAGAAAGGGTTGGGTTAAGGAAAGAAAGGGTTGGTTAAGGAAATAAAGGGTTGGGTTAAAGAAAGAAAGGGTTGTGTTAAGGAAAGAAAGGGTTGGTTAAGGAAAGAAAGGGTTGGGTTAAGGAAATAAAGGGTTGGGTTAAAGAAAGAAAGGGTTGGGTTGTTTAAAAGAAAGAAAGGGTTGGGTTGTAAAGTAAAGAAAGAAGAAGGGTTGTGGGTTGTAAGGAAAGAAGAAAAGGGTTGGGTTAAAGAAAGAAAGAAAGGGGTTGGGTTAGGGAAAGAAAGAAAGAAAGGGTTGGGTTAAGGAAAGAAAGAAAGGGTTGGGTTAAGGAAAGAAAGAAAGGGTTGGGTTAGGGAAAGAAAGAAAGGGTTGGGTTAGGAGAGAAAGGGTTGGGTTAGGGAAAGAAAGGGTTGGGTTAGGGAAAGAAAGGGTTGGGTTAGGGAAAGAAAGGGTTGGGTTAGGGAAAGAAAGGGTTGGGTTAGGGAAAGAAAGGGTTGGGTTAGGAAAGAAAGGGTTGGGTTAAGGAAATAAAGGGTTGGTTTAGGGAAAGAAAGGGTTGGGTTGAGGAAATAAAGGGTTGAATCCAAACTTATGTTCTAAAATAAACGCCTCCAACAGTCTATAGTGCAGTGATTGGCTGCGGGGCTTGAACCAGGGTTGCCTTATCGCAAGGCAAGCACGCTAACCACAACCTCAAGAGAGCTGACCCTATAGCAGCCTTGTGTGGTCCTTACAGGTACAGAGGGTCCAGGTGTGGGTGTGGACTGGGTAACCGTGGTAACTGCTCGGCCAGACGCCACCACGGCGCTGGACTCTGTGGTTACCGAGGACGACGAGGGAGCCTCCGTAGTTCCGTTGTCTCCCTGTGTCGAGTCACCAGGCTGGGCTGGAGGGAGGAGGGACATCCCAGAATTAAGACTAAAACATCCCAAAATTAAGACTAAAACATCCCAAAATTAAGACTAAAACATCCCAAAATTAAGACTAAAACATACTGCATGTAGGTAGGAGAAAATATTACTAACATCTTAACTCCCAATCTTCGGTTTTAAAACACTAAGGCTGCGTTTATACAGGCAGACCAATTCTGATCTTTGGACCAATCAGATCAGCCTTTTGCCAACAATTGGGCAAAATATCAGAATCAGGCTGTGTAGGCCTGTGTAAACGCAGCCTAAGGGACAATTTCCCAGACCTAGATTAAGCCTAATCTATTCCTTATGGAGATTCACCTTTGAGTAATAATAATAATAATAATAAGTCATTTAGCAGACGCTCTTATCCAGAGCGACTTACAGGAGCAAATAGGGTTAAGTGCCTTGCTCAAGGGCACATCGACAGATTTTTCACCTAGTCGGCTCGGGGATTAGAACCAGCGACCTTTCGGTTACTGGCACAACGCTCTTACCCACTAAGCCACCTGCCGCCCATAGACTTTATATAGTCTAGGACCAGACTTACTCTGTATCCGGGAGAAAAAAAAAATCCTCCCTATAAACAGCCTCTGAGAGCAGCGATGAGACCTAACATCTGAATGGGTTAAAGACACCGTCATGTTCAGTGGATAGATAGCAGTAGTTCTTACCTGTGGCAGTAGTAGCTGTGTTGGTGGTTCCCGTTTCATGAGTCTCACACGGTGGGTTGGAGCAGACTTCCTGGACCGTGCCCGTTCCCGCCAGGTTGGACGTAGCCTGAGACGGGGTGTTGGTCGTCCCGGTCTCATGCGTCTCACACGGTGGGTTGGAGCAGACTTCCTGGACCGCGCCCGTTCCCGCCAGGTTGGACGTAGCCTGAGACGGGGTGTTGGTCGTCCCGGTCTCATGCGTCTCACACGGTGGGTTGGAGCAGACTTCCTGGACCGTGCCCGTTCCCGCCAGGTTGGACGTAGCCTGAGACGGGGTGTTGGTCGTCCCGGTCTCATGCGTCTCACACGGTGGGTTGGAGCAGACCCTCTGCGCTGTCCCTGTAGTCTTCCCGTTGCCCATACTGGAGTTGGCCTGCGTCGAGACAGTCGTGGTGCCAGTCTGGTGTGTTTCACAAGGTGGACTGGAGCAGACCTGCGTGGCGCTGCTGCCTCCAGCTCCGGCCGTGGCGGTGTCTGTCTGGTGTGTTTCACAGCGTGGACTGGAGCACACAGGGGAGGTGACTCCACCGCTGGACGACTTGCTCTGGCTGTCGGAGGACGAGGAGCTGAGACTCATCCCCATCTTATCAGAGCCCATGTTAGAGCGGGCGGTGGTGGAGGTGTAGGTGGTCCCTGTTCTCAGGGTCTCTGGTCGCAGCACCCCCGGCGCAGACACGGCCCCGGAGACAGACGAGGGGGAGAGGGCTCCGGAGGAGGGGAGCGGCGAGGACGGGGGATCAGACCCGCTGGTGGTGTTTGTCACACTGGAGCCTTGCTGTTGCTTGTTGGACCCCATGTTGCAGCTGGCAGTGGTCGGGGTGTTGGTAGTGCCTGTATCGTGGGTCTCTGACGGGGGGTTGGTGCCGCCTGTATCTGACGGGGGGTTGGTGCACAGCTGCTGTACCTGGCCCATGTTGGAGGACGCCATCGTTTGAGTATTGGTGGTGCCGGTCTCGTGGGTCTCGCAGGGCGGGTTTGAACACACCCTCTCCACCCCACCATTACCGGTCATGTTAGCGGAGGCCGTGGTAGCCGTATTGGTGGTGCCGGTCTCGTGGGTCTCGCAGGGCGGGTTTGAACACACCCTCTCCACCCCACCATTACCGGTCATGTTAGCGGAGGCCGTGGTAGCCGTATTGGTGGTGCCGGTCTCGTGGGTTTCGCACGGCGGGTTTGAACACACCCTCTCCACCCCACCATTACCGGTCATGTTAGCGGAGGCCGTGGTAGCCGTATTGGTGGTGCCGGTCTCGTGGGTCTCGCAGGGCGGGTTTGAACACACCCTCTCCACCCCACCATTACCGGTCATGTTAGCGGAGGCCGTGGTAGCCGTATTGGTGGTGCCGGTCTCGTGGGTTTCACACGGCGGGTTTGAACACACCCTCTCCACCCCACCATTACCGGTCATGTTAGCGGAGGCCGTGGTAGCTGTATTGGTGGTGCCGGTCTCGTGGGTCTCGCAAGGGGGGTTCGAGCAGACCAGGGTCACCGTGCCTGGGTCGCCTGCCTCAGGCTGGGTGGAGGAGGGGTCGGCGGAGGTGGGGGAGGACAGGATGGAGACCGGCAGGTCGTGGACAGGCTGAGCATCCACACCACTTGGGGTCGTGATCAGGGTCACCTGGGTGGGCTGACCTCCCGCCTGGAGGACAGGAAGAGTACAGGAGGTCAATAGAACGTTGACACACAGGACAGAATGTCAATAAAAACAGTTTTTAAATATGGAAAATAAATCCTTACATCACACACACAGAAGAGGTCAATAAAACAAGTTTCAATACAAAAAAATACATATTTGAATAAATAAAACATATTTAAATTAAATTGAAATAATTCCAAGTACGATGTTTTCTACAGGTGTTTTCATAATGGCGTGTCTGACCAGAAAAGAAGCGCCACAGTTCATACGAGAAGCACTGCAAGGTCTGCTTTTCACAGTGAGCTTGCTGTCTCCCCAGGCGTATATCACTGCATGTGCCACCAGCAGGACAAGCACAGCAGAAAATTAAAAATGGGAGTCAACCCACTGCAAGTATTAATGACGACAACATGACAGGATGGATGCATCTGTACCAAACTGGTTAAAAACGGGAACACCTTTCCTGACTTAAGAAACGTAAGCAGATAAGACACCGACACTGCTTTTACAAAAGGTAGCCCAATTCTGATATCCCGCCCCCCCCCCCCCCACTAAATTGGTCTTTTGACCAATCAGATCCTTTTCCAATAAATCGGGCTGCCTGTGTAAACGCAGTCTACATAAACTGTACCTGAGCTGCGGAGTCAGTGACCTGTCCAGGCAGAGTGGTCATAGCGCCCAAGGTGGTGATGGGAGTAGCCGTGGCAACACTTCCACCTGCCAGGCTCGTAGACACTGTACCGGTCACCGTACCAAACGTGGTCACACCTGGAGAGGGACAACAGTAATTGATTGTCGATTACGTATATATTGGTTGCCTGAAATCCAGACCTGTTTTGTGCTAACATTCCACAAGGCGTGGTTAAAGGAGTGGAATGTTAGCACTAACATACTGGTAACCCAGGCTAATCTATTGGGACTGATGCTGCAAAACAGCACAAGCTAAAGCATGATGGTGCAATGCATCTGACTGTTGATGATTCAATGGTGTCACTAACAAAAATGAATCTTTAGGGACACAACCAGTCCAGGAAGAAGCTAGAACGCCGTCTAGCAACGCTATTGTCAAGAGGGTCACTGAACATCCTTACCTGTGGTTCCCTTGACAACAAGGGTGGTGACGTTAGGTTTGACACCGGAAACAGTTACCGGGGAGACGAGACGTACTCCTCCCATGGGGACGGTCCGTAAAATAGTCCCGGGCTGTCCTGGGGCACCCTTCAGCACCACCTGGTAGAAACATCATAATAAATAACAACAACCTGGTAGAACCATAATCACAACAACCTGGTAGAAACATCCTAATAATAATAATTATTATTATTATAAAAACAACCTGGTAGAAACATAATTATAATAAAAACAACTGGGTAGAAACATACAGGTGAAATATACCCACATCAAACTTATTTAGGTAGTCAACAGAAAAATGTATGCAGCTTTTGGTTGAACATGGAGACTTCAAAAAAAAAAAATGGATTATTACATTAACCTGAACAACAGTTTGATATTTGACTAATGGACTCAGGGCTGAACGGTTTACTGTATTTAATATATACTGGTATTGATGCACGGACCAGTTTGGGTTTTTACTTACCTTCTATAACGGCATTTCGATGTTTGCTTTGTTAAATGTGATACGTAACTCCGGTGCGTGTAATCTACGTTTTTATAGTTGACTCGGTTTGCTACTAGAATCATCTTTCTCCCTTTCCTCCTGCTACATGCCGCTAACCAAGCCCCGCTCCCTGTCCTGTCCTGCCCCGCCCATGTCCCCTGCCCTGTCCTGCCCCCTGCCTGGTATGAGGTAATTGAGGTAGATATGTACATATAACTAGGGATAAAGTGACATAATAAAAACAGTAGCAGCAGTGTATGTGACTCAAAAAAGATATCGCAAAAAGGGTCAACGCAGATAGTTAAATAGTTAACCAACACCGCCTGGTATAGAGGTCCTGGATGGCAGGAAGCTTGGCTCCAGTGATGTACTGGGCCGTACGTACTACCCTCTGTAGCGCCTTTGCAGTCGCATGCCAAGCAGCTGCCATACAATGGCGTAGCTGCCATACAATGGCGTAGCTGCCATACAATGGCGTAGCTGCCATACAATGGCGTAGCTGCCATACAATGGCGTAGCTGCCATACAATGGCGTAGCTGCCAAATATTCTCAGCCTCCTGAGGACAGAAGCAGTCGCTCGACCACGGAGTCACGAGCACTTTTGCTGTTCACTCCGCACGGTCAGATGGATGCGACAACATGTTGGTGAAAAAAAATGCTGCTTTCCATAAGCCTTGTATGATAATTACACTATTAGTTTGTACTCTCTGAAAACTACTGTCTGCTAGTTTGTCTTTTCTTAGGAAGTTGTGGCTAAAATAAAATTGTGTTAGCTGCTAATGCTAATCGCTAGTAAGCTGGCTAACGTTAACTAGCTAGCTAAATGTACTAAGATGCAGAGCAAACTTAGCTAGCTTACACAGCCTGGTACCAGTGATGGTGTTGACCTAGATCAGCATGTTGTTTGTGCAACGGTATCTTCTAAAATCAGAAAGGAATGGGCGAAGCGTGGAAATGTTAGCTAGCTACATGAGGTAATGTAACATCTAATTAGGGTCCCCTGGATACACTGACAAACACTTTTGGTTCCTACACGTCAATAATTCCTCCCTGGTTTATTCATTCGTTGTCATATCAAATAACAATGTATTCAAGGTGCTGCCCACCCCTCCAGCTAGGATGGTGTCCGTCACTCCTCAGCAGGCCAGGCTTGGTCCTGTTTGTGGGTGAGTCCCAGAAAGAGGGCCAATTATCGACAAATTCTATCTTTTGGGAGGGGCAGAAAACAGTTCTCAACCAGCGACTGAGTTTTGAGAGAATGCTGTAGAGCTCATCACTTCCCCTAACTGGGAGGGGGCCAGAGACAATTACTCAGTGCCGACATCTTTATAGCTAATTTACACGCTGAAGCTATGTTGCGCTTGGTAAACTCTGACTGTTTCATCCTAACATCATTGGTGCCGACGTGGATAACAATATCCCTATACTCGCCAGTTTGAGCCTTAGCCAGCACCCTCTACAGATTAGCCTTTATATCGGTAGCCCTGCCCCCTGGTAAACAGTGTATTTCTAAGTCTAATATTGCGGGTAATGGAGTTGCCAATGACTACGGTTTTCAATTTGTCAGAGCTAATGGTGGGAGGCTTCGGTGGCTCAGACCCCGTAACGGGTGGAGGAGAGACCTGAGAAGGCTCGGCCTCTGACTCAGACCCCGTAACGGGTGGAGGAGAGACCTGAGAAGGCTCGGCCTCTGACTCGTTGCTTAAATGGGGAGAACCGGTTGAAAGTTTTGTCGGCTGAATGAGCGACACTGGTTGAGCATGCCGACAGCATTTGTTTCCAGAAGAAAGATTTACACTATCTTTGGAAAGTATTACTTTACAGCCTTATTCTAAAATAGAAGAAGAAAAAAAATATCCTCATCAATCTACACACAAAACCCCATAATGACAAAAGCGAAAACATGTTAGACATTTTTGAAAATGTATTTAAAATAAAACAGCAATAACTTATTTCGTTAAGTATTCAGACCCTTTGCTATGATCCTCGAAATTGCGCTCAGGTGCATCCTGTTCCCATTGATCTTTGAGATGTTTCTACAACTTCATTGGAGTCCACCTGTGGTAAATTCAATTGATTGGACATGATTTGGAAAGGCACACACCTGTCTATATCAGGTCCCACTGTTGACAGTGCATGTCAGAGCAAAAACCAAGCCATGAGGTCGAAGGAATTGTCCGTAGAGCTCCGAGACAGGATTGTGTCGAGGCACAGATCTGGGGAAGGGTACCAAAAAAATGTCTGCAGCATTGAAGGTCCCCAAGAACACAGTGGCCTCCATCGTTCTTAAATGGAAGAAGTTTGGAACCACCAAGACTCTTCCTAGAGCTGGTCGCCCAGCCACACTGAGTCATCGGGGGAGTAGGGCATTGGTCAGGGAGGTGACCAAGAACCCGATGGTCACTCTGACAGAGCTCCAGAGTTCCTCTGTGGAGATGGGAGAACCTTCCAGAAGGACAACCATCTCTGCAGCACACCACCAATCAGGCCTTTATGGTAGGGGTGGCCAGACGGAAGCCACTCCTCAATAAAAGGCACGACAGCCCGCTTTGAGTTTGCCAAAAGGCACCTAAAGGACTCTCAGACCATGAGAAACAAGATTCTCTGGTCTGATGAAACCAAGATTGAACTCTTTGGCCTGAATGCCAAGCGTCAAGTCTGGAGGAAACCTGGCACCATCCCTACAGTGAAGCATGGTGGTGGCAGCATCATGCTGTGGAGATGTTTTTCAGCGGCAGGGTCTGGGAGACTAGTCAGGTTTGAGGGAAAGATGGAGAAAAGTACAGAGAGATCCTTGATGAAAACCTGCTCCAGAGCACTCAGGACTTCAGACTGGGTCGAAGGTTCACCTTCCAACAGGACAACGACCCTAAGCACACAGCCAAGACAACGCAGGAGTGGCTTCCTGACAAGTCTCTGAATGTCCTTGAGTGGCCCAGCCAGAGCCCGGACTTGAACCCGATCTAACATCTCTGGAGAGACCTGAAAATAGCTGTGCAGCGACGCTCCCCATCCAACCTGACAGAGCTTGAGAGGATCTGCAGAGAAGAATGAAGAAACTCCCCAAATACAGGTGTGCCAAGCTTGTAGCGTCATACCCAAGAAGACTCAACGCTGTAATCGCTGCCAAAGGTGCTTCAACAAAGTACTGCGTAAAGGGTCTGAATACTTATGTAAATGTGATATTTATTTTTAATAAATTAGCAAACATTTCTAACAACCTGTTTTTGCTTTGTCATTATGGGGTATTGTGTGTAGATTGAGGGGGAAAAAAAACAATTTTATCAATTTTAGAATAAGGCTGTAACGTAACAAAATGTGGGGAAAATCAAGGGGTCTGAATACTTTCCGAAGGCACTGTATACTACTATCTGTACTTACTGGTGTCACAGACGCTGTTTTATCCCATATGTAACTCTGTGTTGTTGTTGTTGTTTTATTCGCACTGCTTTGCTTTATCTTGGCCAGGTCGCAGTTGTAAATGAGAACTTGTTCTCAACTGGCTTACCTGGTTAAATAAATAAAATCCTTTCCTACACTTACATTGCCCTTGCTTAACGATTGCATCTGAAGCTGGGCTTGCAACACGGCGATCCTCACCATAGTTCTCCTGTATATTATGAGTACAGCGACTGCAATTAGATGGCATAGCAGCCCTGCGTGGCACAGCGTGGAAATGAAAATGGTAGAAAATGCCCTAAAGTTATTTTTGTTTGAAGTTGGATTATTGAACAGTATAAAACAAATCAGAATGGATAAAGACCCATCGAAAATCACTTATAATTTATGTGTTGCCACCATAGGGGTCATGAACTTACTCAAAGCATTTTTTTGAACTTCTATTATTCAAAAACAAAATGCTGTCAAATACCACCGGCAAAAAAAATAATGTATGATATTATATTTGGGCCATATTGCCCAGCCTGAACTGGAGCCTGTAGCCAGAACAGAGATGTATAGCACGGTTTCCTCCTGCTTTTCATACCTTTTACAACGTTCTTTTTACCTGACCCAGGTTAGGGACTGGAGCGGGTAAGGCTGTACAGTACCACCTGTGTGAGTCCCTGCTGGCCAGCCCCAGCTCTGGGCATAGCGCCGATGATCTTGCTTGGTGTTATTGTACCAGGGTTAAGGTTAGAGGGGGTTGGGTGTACCTGTGTGAGTCCCTGCTGGCCAGCACCAGCTCTGGGCATAGCGCCGATGATCTTGCTTGGTGTTATTGTACCAGGGTTAAGGTTAGAGAGGGTTGGGTGTACCTGTGTGAGTCCCTGCTGGCCAGCCCCAGCTCTGGGCATAGCGCCGATGATCTTGCTTGGTGTTATTGTACCAGGGTTAAGGTTAGAGAGGGTTGGGTGTACCTGTGTGAGTCCCTGCTGGCCAGCACCAGCTCTGGGCATAGCGCTGATGATCTTGCCTGGAGTCCCGGTGCCTGGTGTCATCATCTTAGTGGTGATGATGGTAATGGGGGACTTCATACCACTTCCTGTCACTCCTGACCAGACAACAGATTCAAGTTATATGTATACACATTTAAAAATGGTTGATTTGGTTGCACCAATGGGCCACTACGAAAACATTCTACAAATCCCAAATGTAGTGCTGACTTCTATGAATCAAACTATCTAGAAAGCCCTCTTTTAACAACAATATTTGTCACAAATTGCTTTCAAGGTAAAGCATTTTGTGACATAATGTAAAAAAGGGCTTTATAAATAAGCCGATCAATTGATTGGATTAATTGATTGATTAATTGGTTGATATATATAGGAAGCAGACAGAACTAACCTGCTTGTCCGATGGCAGACATGGGTATGGTCTTGATGATGTGTGTGCCAGGTTTGGTTGTGGTGGGCATGCCGCTGTAAGACAGAATGGTAGGCTTTCCCCCAACGGTCCCAGCCTGGGACGTTGTGATGATCGTGGTGGGCTTCCCGTCTGCTGATGTCACTAGCTTCAGGATGGTGCCCGCCGGGAGGGGACCTTTAGTCTGGTTGAAAGGAAGGAGATGGAGGGGTTGAGGGTTAGGGGTCGGAGGTGAAGATAAGAGGTGGAAGCTGACGTACAACATGAAACATGGTCCTTTGAGAAAGATATCGCAGGTTGGCAGACTGATCCTGCACATCAGAACACTAGACTGATCCTGCACATCAGAACACTAGACTGATCCTGCACATCAGAACACTAGACTGATCCTGCACATCAGAACACTAGACTGATCCTGCACATCAGAACACTAGACTGATCCTGCACATCAGAACACTAGACTGATCCTGCACATCAGAACACTAGACTGATCCTGCACATCAGAACACTAGACTGATCCTGCAACATCAGAACACTAGACTGATCCTGCACATCAGAACACTAGACTGATCCTGCACATCAGAACACTAGACTGATCCTGCACATCAGAACACTAGACTGATCCTGCAACATCAGAACACTAGACTGATCCTGCACATCAGAACACTAGACTGATCCTGCACATCAGAACACTAGACTGATCCTGCAACATCAGAACACTAGACTGATCCTGCACATCAGAACACTAGACTGATCCTGCAACATCAGAACACTAGACTGATCCTGCAACATCAGAACACTAGACTGATCCTGCACATCAGAACACTAGACTGATCCTGCAACATCAGAACACTAGACTGATCCTGCACATCAGAACACTAGACTGATCCTGCACATCAGAACACTAGACTGATCCTGCAACATCAGAACACTAGACTGATCCTGCACATCAGAACACTAGACTGATCCTGCACATCAGAACACTAGACTGATCCTGCAACATCAGAACACTAGACTGATCCTGCAACATCAGAACACTAGACTGATCCTGCACATCAGAACACTAGACTGATCCTGCACATCAGAACACTAGACTGATCAAGCACATCAGAACAGACTAGGACTAGGCTGTCTAGAGATTTTTCCACTAGATCTAAAGACATTTCAAACATACCCACAGATGTTAAAACTGGTCCTGGACACAAGCCCTAAATCAGGGTTGTCCAACTCCTCATGGGCCTAATTGGAGACACAATTTTGCCCCAGTGCCTGCAAACACACCTGACTCCAATAATCAACTAATCATGGTCTTCAGTTTGGAATGTCATTAGTTTAAAATCAGCTGTGTTTGCTAGGGATGGGGAAAAAAGTGAGATCCCAAATCAGGCCCCCGAGGACTGGAGTTACCCATCCCTGGTATAGAGTGCTAGTCATTCACAGAACTGGGAGTTCCCCATCCCTGGTATAGAGTGCTAGTCATTCACAGAACTGGGAGTTCCCCATCCCTGGTATAGAGTGCTAGTCATTCACAGAACTGGGAGTTACCCATCCCTGGTATAGAGTGCTAGTCATTCACAGAACTGGGAGTTCCCCATCCCTGGTATAGAGTGCTAGTCATTCACAGAACTGGGAGTTCCCCATCCCTGGTATAGAGTGCTAGTCATTCACAGAACTGGGAGTTCCCCATCCCTGGTATAGAGTGCTAGTCATTCACAGAACTGGGAGTTCCCCATCCCTGGTATAGAGTGCTAGTCATTCACAGAACTGGGAGTTACCCATCCCTGGTATAGAGTGCTAGTCATTCACAGAACTGGGAGTTACCCATCCCTGGTATAGAGTGCTAGTCATTCACAGAACTGGGAGTTACCCATCCCTGAACTAAATGATCCAGATCAGACTACTGAGAGGACTGGAGTTACCCATCCCTGATCCAGATCAGACTACTGAGAGGACTGGAGTCACCCATCCCTGATCCAGATCAGACTACTGAGAGGACTGGAGTCACCCATCCCTGATCCAAATCAGACTACTGAGAGGACTGGAGTCACCCATCCCTGATCCAAATCAGACTACTGAGAGGACTGGAGTCACCCATCCCTGATCCAGATCAGACTATTGAGAGGACTGGAGTTACCCATCCCTGATCCAGATCAGACTACTGAGAGGACTGGAGTCACCCATCCCTGATCCAGATCAGACTACTGAGAGGACTGGAGTCACCCATCCCTGATCCAGATCAGACTACTGAGAGGACTGGAGTCACCCATCCCTGATCCAGATCAGACTACTGAGAGGACTGGAGTCACCCATCCCTGATCCAGATCAGACTACTGGAGTTACCCATCCCTGATCCAGATCAGACTACTGAGAGGACTGGAGTCACCCATCCCTGATCCAGATCAGACTACTGAGAGGACTGGAGTCACCCATCCCTGATCCAGATCAGACTACTGAGAGGACTGGAGTCACCCATCCCTGATCCAGATCAGACTACTGGAGTTACCCATCCCTGATCCAGATCAGACTACTGGAGTTACCCATCCCTGATCCAGATCAGACTACTGGAGTCACCCATCCCTGATCCAGATCAGACTACTGAGAGGACTGGAGTCACCCATCCCTGATCCAGATCAGACTACTGACCTGTATGATGTGCTGCAGGCTGGAGCCAGCCTGTCCCGTCACCGCTCCGGTCTGACCAGGCTTCGTCTGGACCACTGACATCACCTTTCCCAGGTTGGACAGTTGGACAGCTGGAGGACAGAGGAGAGACAGTCAGATTACAGAGGAGAGACTTGTCAAAACAACACACGCTTTATATTATCAAGATAGGTCTATTTATAAACATAATATAATATATGCTACTTAGCAGATGCTTTCCACATGACTTTATCAAGATAGGCCAATTTAATGTCAGATAATAACATACATGGGTGGGTATTTTACATTTGTCACAAATACAATTAATTCATTCATTTATGGAGGTTAGCAGATGCTTTTATCCAAAGCGACTTCCATACAGTACATGTTTAGTATGTGTGTGTGACCCCCGTCGGGGAATGGACTGTTTGTTATGCATGTAAAAGACAACAGAATGCATCCTAACTAACCCAATTCTGTACGTCCTTGCCAGACATCAGTTTGTTTTGACCCTGGTTGGCTGCAGTCAGCTTAGAACGGGGCACAAAACAGATGCAGTGAGTCACTGCTAAACCAGGTGTACGGGTATGTCACAAAGCTGGGGTTCAATGAGCTACCCAGATAACTTGCTTAGCTTCAATGTTCAGATTTATTTAAACATCTTTTATAGGAAGGATGCTTGAAATGGGAATTGGCATTAATTCAACAAATACAACCCATATTCCAAGTTTAGCTTTGGCTTAACCAAAAACCAAACCAGAAAATCGAAAGTCATTTCTGAATTATAAAAGTTACTTCATATATTATTATTATTAATTCAATTGATTCATACAACAACTATTCCAAACCGTAGAACCAAAAAATCTAGTTATTTCTGAATGTTTATCAAAGTTAGCTGGCCAATTTATGGATCCTGCCAAGGCCACTAAAAATCATCTTACCAGTGTTCCGCCTCCCCCCATAGTAAGGGGACTCTTGACCAGGGTGATGGTCTTAGTGACTCCTCCCACTACCGTGGTAACCACCTGGTGTTGCTGGGCGACCGTCACCGTGCCAGACTTGTGCACGGTGATGATTGGGCGAGTGGGCGTTCCGGGTGTGGCGACACCTGACGTGCCCACCTGAGCCGCAGCAGTCTTCAGCATGCGGGTGGCTGGGTTACTAACCTAGGAGGGCGACACCGGGTGAGAGACCCGAGTGAAACACAGACAGACAGACAGACAGAGAGAAAGATAGAGGAGAGAGAAGAAGGAGAGAGAGGAAGTAGGTACTGTGGATATTGGAGTGTAGCCTTGATAAACAAATCGCTCTAGTGAACCAGAAGAGTTTATAATTAACAGCAGAGGTTTACATGGGGTGTGTGTGTGTGTTAGTCCAGGGATCTCTTACCATAACAGGCGAGGCTACTTTGACAGTCTGTGATCCGGGGCTCATGGCCACGGTCTTGACCATAGTAGCACCAGCTGGTAGCTGCATGGTGGCCGTGGAGGGCGGGATCTTCTGGGTGGCCGCAGCAGCTGCAGCCAGCGCAGCCATGCCACTCATCTGAGGGCTGCTGCCCATTGGCTGAGAAGGAGAAAGGGAGGAAGCAGATATGGAAAAATGTACATTTATAAATAACTTTTTTTTTTTTTTTTTTACAAGAATAATCTCGAAGTGCATAAGGTTTTGGTACTCATAGGATTAGGGAAGGATCGATGTAAGAGAAGGAACTAAACTTGTTGTGCATTAATCAGACCTGGGGATAACTTGTGGAAAGTAACTATTTTCCAGGGTGAATAAAGTTACTTTAGAGGTGACTTCAACTATCTGAATACAGATCTAAAAAAAAATATCTACTTTTTAAAACTATTTTAATACAGATCTCAGAAAGTGACTACTTTACTAAACTATTTGAATACAGATCTGAGAAAGCAACTACTTAAAAATATATATATATATATATATTTGAATACAGATATCAGGAAGTGACCATTTTTATGTTACTATTGGATTGGCTGTCTTCAACTAATGGCAGGGTTGTATCTGGAACTGCCTGTTGAAGACATATAATAAATAGAGAACATGATCTCCTATACTACTCCAATCTGACAGTCATATTGGATACGATCTCCTATACTACTCCAATCTGACAGTCATATTGGATACGATCTCCTATACTACTCCAATCTGACAGTCATATTGGATACGATCTCCTATACTACTCCAATCTGACAGTCATATTGGATACGATCTCCTATACTACTCCAATCTGACAGTCATATTGGATCTACACAATACATTTCTATCCGAACATTTTGTAAATGCTGAATGTCCATTGCCCCAGGTGTACACAATCAAGTCAAACCAATTAACCAATGATATTTTGTATAAATAAGTTGTGATGCTCAACAACTATATGACTCGGTCGGGCTTCGAAAATAAAAACGGTATCATCTTTATAAATTATATCATAAATAGAACTGGTGGAGTTATGGCACACATGCAGATAACAAAAATCTCTGCTCTATCCAAAAGTACATTTACATTTTAGTCATTTTACAAATTGTCAAATTACAACAAAAAAGCAGCATTACCTCAAAAATGGAGTAGGCAAGTGGAAGAGGGAAAAGGAACTTTTCTGTCGGCCCTGCACTAAAGACCAAAATTGGCTAAAGAAAATTGAGAAATAGTGTTTATTTTAATTTAATTTTTAGCTGCACCGTACAGGTTGCAAAAATAGTTGGGAGGAGATTTTCGATGTACCGATTCCACGGCACATGGTTTATGAACTGATACACAAAACGACACAATATTCGTGCAACCAATAGAATGTTTGGATTTAAGTATAGTTTTTGTACGACTAAAGCCTTCAGTGAGAGGTCCAATGCTTTAATATTTGACCTCCGAATTCATATTCATTATATAAAATAAATAGGCCGGTTAAAATTTCGTCTGGCTTGCCTTTCAAAATAAAGTAGAATATTTTTGCCTCATATAATAAAAACATTGATAGGTGTTAGCAGGGCCCATAAGTAAATAAACTGGGACATGACTAAAAAGAGTTAAAATCAGGGTGATTTTTTTCCAAAAAGACAGGTGTTGTCCTTTCCATGGTAGTAAAATCTTATCTAACTTGACTAATTTTCTATTAAAAAAATGTATAGTAGTGAGATCATTTATTTATTTATTTCGGGATATGAATACCGAGTATGTCCACTTCACCGTCGGACCATTTTATTTGTAAACTACGCGGTAATGTAAAAGTCGTATATTTTTAGAGTTCCAATACCTAATGTTGTGCTCTTATCATAATTCGGTTTTAATCCAGAGAGGTTAGAAAAATAAATAAAAAATAAATAAATTGGTCATTTAGCAGACGCTCTTATCCAGAGCGACTTACAGGAGCAATTAGGGTTAAGTGCCTTGCTCAAGGGCACATCGACAGATTTTTCACCTAGTCGGCTCGGGGATTAGAACCAGCAACCTTTCGGTTACTGGTACAACGCTCTTAACCACTAAGCTACCTGCCGCCTAGAAACATCATCTAGATCCTCTATGAGGCTGTGCAGGGATCCAAATGTCGGATTTAGAAGAAAACATGAATCGTCAGCGTACAATGACACCTTTGTTTTTAAGCCCTGGATTTCTAATCCCCTTGATATCATTGTTGGATCTGATTTTTAATAGCTAACATTGATGGCCATAATAAATAGATATGCCGATAATGGACAGCCTTGTTTTACTCTTCTTGACAATTTAATACTTACTGAGAAGTAGCCATTATTTACCATTTTACACCTGGGGTTACTATACATAACTTTAACCCATTGTATAAGAGATTCTCCAAAATTAAAACAGTTCAGGCATTTCTATATAAAATTCCAGTCGTACTTTACTAAAAGGCCTTTTCAAAGTCAGCTATGAATAGCAGGCCTGGTTTCCCAGATTTTTCATAGTGTTCTATTGTTTCCAGTACTTGCCTTATATTATCTCCAATGTATCGTCCATGTAAAAAACCTGTCTGATTAGAATGAATAATATATTTTTAATTATATGTTCTAAGCATTTTGCTAGGATTTTTGCATCACAACACTGAAGTGTAAGGTGCCTCCAATATTTTAATTGACTGGATCTTTATATTTACCACTTGGGTCCTGTTTCAGTAATAGTGAAATCAGACCTTCTTGCTGAGTATCTGATAGTCTACCGTTTTTATAGGAGTGGTTAAAACATGTTAATAACGTCCCTTTGAGTACATCAAAAAACATTTGATATCCAGTGCCTTCGGAAAGTATTCAGACCCTTTGCTATGAGACTCGAAAATTGAGCTCCGGTGCATCCTGTTTCCATTGATCATCCTTGAGATGTTTCTACAACTTGGAGTCCACCTGTGGTAAATTCAATTGATTGGACATGATTTGGAAAGGCGCATGAGATCGAAGGAATTGTCCATAGAGCTCCGAGACAGGATTGTGTCGAGGCACAGATCTGGGGAAGGATACCAAAAAAATGTCTGCAGCATTGAAGATCCCCAAGAACACAGCGGCCTCCATCGTTCTTAAATGGAAGAAGTTTGGAACCACCAAGACTCTTCCTAGAGCTGGCTGCCCGACCAAACTTAGCAATCGGGGGAGAAGGGCCTTGGTCAGGGAGGTGGCCAAGAATCCAATGGTCACTCTGACAGAGCTCCAGAGTTCATCTGAGGAGATGGGAGAACCTTCCAGAAGGACAACTATCTCTGCAGCACTCCACCAATCAGGCCTTTATGGTAGGGTGGCCAGACGGAAGCCACTCCTCAGTAAAAAGGCACATGACAGCCCGCTTGGAGTTTGCCAAAAGCCACCTAAAGGACTCTCAGACCATGAGAAACAAGATTTTCTTGTCTGATGAAACTAAGATTGAACACTTTGGCCTGAATGCCAAGCGTCACGTCTGGAGGAAACCTGGCACCATCCCTACGGTGAAGCATGGTGGTGGCAGCATCATGCTGTGGAGATGTTTTTCAGCGGCAGGGACTGGGAGACAAATCAGGATCAAGGGAAAGATGAACGGAGCAAAGTACAGAGATCCTTGATGAAAACCTACTCCAGAGCGCTCAGGACCTCAGACTGAGGCGAAGGTTCACCTTCCAACAGGACAACAACCTTAAGCACACAGCAAAGACAACGCAGGAGTGGCTTCGGGACAAGTCTCTGAATGTCCTTGAGTGGCCCAACCAGAGCCCGGACTTGAACCCGATCGAACATCTCTGGAGAGACCTGAAAAAAGATGTGCAGCGACGCTCCCCATCCAACCCGACAGAGCTTGAGAGGATCTGCAGAGAAGAATGGGAGAAACTCCCCAAATACAGGTGTGCCAAGCTTGTAGCGTCATACCCAAAAAGACTTGAGGCTGTAATCGCTGCCAAAGGTGCTTCAACAAAGTACTGAGTAGAGGGTCTGAATACTTATGTAAATATTATATTTCAGTATTTTTTTTTATTTGCTCAAATTAATAAAAAAACAGTTTTTGCTTTGTCATTATGGGGTATTGTGTGTAGATTGACGAGAAAAAAACAACAACAATTTAATCAATTTTAGAATAAGGCTGTAATGTTACAAAATGTGGAAGAAGTCAAGGGGTCTGAATACTTTTCCGAATGCACTGTACCTCAACTGGTATGCCATCCACCCTGGAGATGCTTTAAATTGCATCTAGAAGTTCCTCCTCTGTAAATAGGCCTTCACTTGAGTCTCTGTATATCTGTTAAATTTACACTATTAATAGAAAATATCCTTACCATTAACTTCAGTTAGTGGAAATGGAGGAGAATGAAATGAGAACATATGCTTAAAGTACTTTGCTTCCTCTTTCAAAATATTGTTATCTTCCTCTTTCAAGATATTGTTATGTGAATCATGGGTGACTCGTCATTTGTAACAAGTTTCAGTAAATTCTTTTTGGTAGCATTTCTATGTTGAAGATCAAAAAATAGATTTGGTGCATATTCCATCCAGTTCGCTTAATTTTTTATAATGTATTACACTTGATCTTTCTTGAATAAGTTCCACCATTTATTTTTGTTTTTCCTCTTTACTTATTCTGGTTAGTTATTATTGCCATCTATTTATACTGTTAGTCCTTCCATAGTTATATATGTATTATAATTATATATAGTTCCTATTTTTTTCTTTTTTTAAGATGAACTCTTGACCTAAATAGTTTTTGCTTTGCGTATTAAGGGTACTTTTAAAGTGTCCATCACAATAAGAGGATCTGCTGTACCGTTACGCAGGAAAAAGTCAGTTAAATTCTTCTGTCTTGGTAAAAAAAACAATTTGTCACAGTAGGCTTTGATCACATTTCCAATACCCTCACGGATATTCTGTAAGAGTAATGTGTAATGCCAATTATTTGATAGTCCGACCGCATTCTGCCCCCTATCAACACTTTTTAAACTTTTGGTGCCAACGAGAATGCCATAAGAGAGTAGTCAAGACGACCAGCTTGATTGATCCTCTGCCGTGTACACTACCGTTCAAAAGTTTGGGGTCACTTAGAAATGTCCTTGTTTTCCATGAAAACATACATGAAATGAGTTTGAATAGGAAATATAGCAAAAATGCATTGGAAATGTAGTCATTGACAAGGTTAGAAATAATGATTTTTAATAGAAATAATAATTGTGTCCTTCAAACTTTGCTTTCGTCAAAAGAATCCTCCATTTGCAGCAATTACAGCCTTGCAGACCTTTGGCATTCTAGTTGTCAATTTGTTGAGGTAATCTGAAGAGATTTCACCCCATGCTTCCTGAAGCACCTCCCACAAGGTCAAGCTGCTCCCACACGGTCAAGCTGCTCCCACAACAGCTCAGTAGGGTTGAGATCCAGTGACTGTGCTGGCCACACCATTATAGACAGAATACCAGCTGACTGCTTCTTCTTCTTCTTCGTTGCAAAATGGAGTGATAGCCTTCCTTCTTCAAGATCCCTTTTACCCTGTACAAATCTCCCACTTTACCACCACCAAAGCACCCCCAGACCATCACATTGCCTCCACATGCTTGACAGATGGCATCAAGCACTCCTACAGCATCTTTTTATTTGGTCTGCGTCTCACAAATGTTCTTCTTTGTCATCCGAACACCTCAAACTTCGATTCGCCTGTCTATAACACTTTTTTTCCAATCTTCCTTTGTCCAGTGTCTGTGTTCTTTTGCCCATCTTAATCTTTTCTTTTTATTGGCCAGTCTGAGATATGGCTTTTTCTTTGCATCTCTGCCTAGAAGGTCAGCATCCCGGAGTCGCCTCTTCACTGTTGACGTTGAGACTGGTGTTTTGCGGGTACTATTTAATGAAGCTGCCAGTTGAGGACCTGTGAGACACTAATGTATTTGTCCTCTTGTTCAGTTGTGCACCGGGGCCTCCCACTCCTCTTTCTATTCTGGTTAGAGCCAGTTTGCGCTGTTCTGTGAAGGGAGTAGTACACAGCGTTGTACGAGATCTTCAGTTTCTTGGCAATTTCTTGCATGGAATAGCCTTCATTTCTCAGAACAAGAATAGACTGACGAGTTTTAGAAGAAAGTTTTTTGTTTCTGGCCATTTTGATCCTGTAATCGAATCCACAATTGCTGATGCTCCAGATACTCAACTAGTCTCAAGAAGGCCAGTTTTATTGCTTCTTTAATCAGCAAAACAGTTTTCAGCTGTGCTAACATAATTGCAAAAGGGTTTTCTAATGATCAATTAGCCTTTTAAAATGATAAACTTAGATTAGCAAACACAACGTGCCACAGGACACAGCTACATTAGCCATTTACAACATCAACTATGTCTACACTGCATTTCTGATCAATTGATGTCATTTTAAAATGGACACATTTTTTTGCTTTTCTTACGAAAACAAGGACATTTCTAAGTGACCCCAAATTTTGACAATTTCTAAGTGACCCCAAATTTTGAACGGTAGTGTATATTCCACTAGATCAGGATATTTAAGCCTCCATATATCCACTAGTTCCAATGCATCCATAATATTCGTAATTTCCTTAAGTGCATGAGGGTGATAATTTGTAGTGTGAATTCCCCTATGGGCCCTAGTCAAAAAGTAGTGCACTATATAGGAAATAGGGGGCCATTTGGGACCATCGTACGTCCTTTACTCGTACCGTTCCCTGTGTGCCCTGGGCCGGCACCACCATGCGGACCCCGGCAGGAAGTGATGTCACCGTTACGGGAGATTTCCCGCCCTGGTTGGCCTGTCTCACCGTGACGATGGAGGTGCCTGTGGTGGAGTGGGGAGCAGCCACCTTCAGAATAGCTGTAGGGGAGAAAATAAAAACCTTGTTTAAGATGGTGGCTGATCTGGAAAGAAACGCTTTGATTTTGTTTTGACACAATTATAATTAACAACAGTATTGAGAATTAAGCCCAAAAAAAAAAAAAAAAGAGCATTTAAAATATTACAGAAATAAAAATAAAATGGAGTGAGTCCGTCAGTAGTCGTTACCTGGCCCGCGTGTGTTAGCAGCAGCCAGTGGACTCCCAGGCATGGAGGTGGTGGGGGAGGGCACCAGCGTTAAGCCCTGGAGAGGGTGGCCCTGGGCGGACGCCGCAGCAGAGGCTGTGACGGGGCTCTTGGGGGAGTTGACCGGTAGTGACGTCACGGGGCTGACACCGGGGGAGGTGGTGGCTGAGGCGGGGGGGATATCGTACTTCTGCAGCTGCAGCAGGTAGGTGTCCGAAGTAGGTACCGCCCCCCAGCTCACCTCCAGGCTGCTGGTGTTGGCTCTCACCAACTGCACCCGTGACGGGGGGTGGGGCTTCTCTGTGGGGAACAGAGAAGCAGTTAGTATTTACAAAATCAAAAAGTAACTACCTGATTAAAAATGTTCAAGCATTTCGATTTCTTAAAGATTCGATGTATAACCCCCAACTTATTTGTACTGTTAAATTTCAACACACAAGTACTTCAGAGGTTATCATGTCGAGATTCACTGTACTTTAAAGTGTTCTACATCAAAATTAAAATTATTGATATTTTCAATTAACACACAGAAACAAGCAACAGCATCTTTCTGAACAAGCGTCATACTGACTGATTAAGTGAACTAAGGGACTCGGACTCACCTGTCTCCAGGTACCAGAGGTCCTTACAGCACACCTGGTTGTTCCAGGCCTTACGGTACCCGTCCCGGCCGCTCCAGACGTAGAGGCGCGAGTTGATGGCCACGGAGCAGTGTCCGGCCCTGGCCCTGGGGATGTTATCTTCCAGAGAGTCCATCAGCACCGACTCCCACGCCATCGAGTCTAGGAGGGGGACAGAGGAGAGAGATATCAGTGGTGTAGTCAAACCAATCATGTCGCTGGAAGGCTTGGGCGGTATACCGGGGTATTTGGGGAAAGCCTCAGGATGGTTTTTCCAATACCGTCGAAACTATTTCATTGAAGTTATATATAAATAAAATAAAGATATTTGTAGCTGCTTTTTAAGTAAAATACCTGAAGTCAACTTGTGTAATACGTTAAAAAGAGATAAAGAACATTGCGTTCTTCATTTCAGCTGTCACATTTATTATGAAGTTTACGGTAATCCCAAAGTCACATGGTCATTGTTTACAATCAGTGTTGTGCAGCACGCGCCAGGTGATCTAATTACAGGATGGAATTCACAACTAAATGTTGGGCACCTAGACATCTTATAACTATTTAAGTTAACTGTCTAAAATGTGCTAAATGGTTTGCAGTTGTGCATTTGTTTTGCCAGTGTAGTAGCTAGTTACCTATCTAGCTAAGTGGTTAGCTTCTTCCATAATCGAGCATTCGCTTGGTTACAGCAGAGAATCCCCTCCTGGATCAAGAGCCTTGCTGGCTAATATTGATTGGTTTTGTGCGTGCAGCAAAATGTGAAGCATTTGAGTTACTTATATAGTTCAGGTCAGACACTGTACAAAATGTTCGCACCGCGCTCGTTAGCATTTAGTTAGCATTCTCTGTGTGATTTTACATGTACTTGTTAGCATTGCTAACCTTCGGATTACAGAGTATTAAAATGGGGTTTGAAAACAGCGGCCCTTGTTCAGTTCCGGTATTACAGAATATCCCGGTATGGCACAAGGTCGGTATGAAGGTATGTCAATCTGGATACCGGCTAAGCCTAGTCCCTGGGGCACCATTTCACATTACACAGCTTTAATATGAGTTTTATTTATATTTACAGAAATGTGCACGGTTACTACATGCTCAATTTAAATGAACGTTTTATATGATTTTCTAACCATGGAGAAACAAAATAAGCGATTAGCTAGCAAAACAAGAATCCCTTTCCCCATGAAGGATAAAATTCCAAACAGTTGATTGGTCAGACATACCAAGGTCAATACAATGTTATTGGCCATGGAAACAGTCGGGACTGAGGGGAGGTAGCATTTCACATTACTAAGTTGAGAGGTCAATTGTAGCGGAGACGTGTTTCTGTCTGTCATTTCAGTTTTTTGTTCAGAGATTTTTTACATTTTTGTGATCCATTACTGAATGTTTTCGTGGTCAACGTTTCATAAACATCGAGCACCAAATATTGTAATTTGTAGGCCATTTTAGATAAAGGGCTCTACACACTATGGAAACAGAACGACGGAGTGTTGAATACGACCCGTTCCAAAACGATTCAGCAGCACAAAAGTATGTAGAACGACACAGACTGACATACAGACAGACCAGTGAGTTGGTCAGAGTGACATACCTAGGTTGAGACAGACCAGTGAGTTGGTCAGACTGACATACAGACAGACCAGTGAGTTGGTCAGACTGACATACAGACAGACCAGTGAGTTGGTCAGACTGACATACAGACAGACCCGTGAGTTGGTCAGAGTGACATACAGACAGACCAGTGAGTTGGTCAGACTGACATACAGACAGACCCGTGAGTTGGTCAGACTGACATACAGACAGGCCAGTGAGTTGGTCAGAGTGACATACAGACAGACCAGTGAGTTGGTCAGAGTGACATACAGACAGACCAGTGAGTTGGTCAGACTGACATACAGACAGACCAGTGAGTTGGTCAGAGTGACATACAGACAGACCAGTGAGTTGGTCAGACTGACATACAGACAGACCCGTGAGTTGGTCAGAGTGACATACAGACAGACCAGTGAGTTGGTCAGACGACATACGACAGCCCAAGTGATTTTGGTCAGAGTGACATACAGACAGGCCGTGATTTGGGTTTCAGACTGCCCATACAGACAGACCAGTGGGTTGGTCAGACTGACATACAGACAGACCCGTGAGTTGGTCAACTGACATACAGACAGGCCAGTGATTTGGTCAGACTGACATACAGACAGACCAGTGAGTTGGTCAGACTGACATACAGAAGACCAGTGAGTTGGTTCAGACTGACATACAGACAGACCAGTGGGGTTGGTCAGATGACATCCCAGACAGACCAGTGATTTGGTCAGATTTGACATACAGACAGACCGTGAGTGGTCAGACTGACATACAGACAGACCAGTGAGTTGGCCCGAGTGACATACAGACAGACCAGTGGTTGGTCAGACTGACTACAGACAGACCAGTGAGTTGGTCGAGGACATCAGCAGACCAGTGATTTGGTCAGACGACATAACAGACAGACCAGTGAGTTGTCAGAGTGACATACAGACAGACCAGTGAGTTGGTCAGACTGACATACAGAACAGGACCAGTGAGTTGGTCAGAGTGACATACAGACAGACCAGTGAGTTGGTCAGAGTGACATACAGCAGGCCAGTGAGTTGGTCAGGACTGACATACAGACAGACCAGTGAGGTTGGTCAGACTGACATACAGACAGACCAGTGAGTTTGGTCAGAGTGACATACAGACAGACCAGTGAGTGGTCAGACTGACATACAGACAGACCAGTGAGTTGGTCGACTGACATACAGACAGACCAGTGAGTTGGTCAGAGTGACATACAGACAGACCAGTGAGTTGGTCAGAGTGACATACAGACAGACCAGTGAGTTGGTCAGACTGACATACAGACAGACCAGTGAGTTGGTCAGACTGACATACAGACAGACCAGTGAGTTGGTCAGACTGACATACAGACAGACCAGTGAGTTGGTCAGAGTGACATACCTAGGTTGAGACAGACCAGTGAGTTGGTCAGACTGACATACAGACAGACCAGTGAGTTGGTCAGACTGACATACAGACAGACCAGTGAGTTGGTCAGAGTGACATACCTAGGTTGAGACAGACCAGTGAGTTGGTCAGACTGACATACAGACAGGCCCGTGAGTTGGTCAGAGTGACATACAGACAGACCAGTGAGTTGGTCAGACTGACATACAGACAGACCCGTGAGTTGGTCAGAGTGACATACCTAGGTTGAGACAGACCAGTGAGTTGGTCAGACTGACATACAGACAGACCAGTGAGTTGGTCAGACTGACATACAGACAGACCAGTGAGTTGGTCAGACTGACATACAGACAGACCAGTGAGTTGGTCAGACTGACATACAGACAGACCAGTGAGTTGGTCAGACTGACATACAGACAGACCAGTGAGTTGGTCAGAGTGACATACAGACAGGCCAGTGAGTTGGTCAGAGTGACATACAGACAGACCAGTGAGTTGGTCAGAGTGACATACAGACAGGCCAGTGAGTTGGTCAGAGTGACATACCTAGGTTGAGACAGGCCTGTGAGTTGGTCAGACTGACATACAGACAGACCAGTGAGTTGGTCAGACTGACATACAGACAGACCAGTGAGTTGGTCAGACTGACATACAGACAGACCAGTGAGTTGGTCAGACTGACATACAGACAGACCAGTGAGTTGGTCAGACTGACATACAGACAGACCAGTGAGTTGGTCAGAGTGACATACAGACAGGCCAGTGAGTTGGTCAGAGTGACATACAGACAGACCAGTGAGTTGGTCAGAGTGACATACAGACAGGCCAGTGAGTTGGTCAGAGTGACATACCTAGGTTGAGACAGGCCTGTGAGTTGGTCAGACTGACATACAGACAGACCAGTGAGTTGGTCAGAGTGACATACAGACAGACCAGTGAGTTGGTCAGAGTGACATACCTAGGTTGAGACAAGCCAGTGTGTTAGTGCACTTCCACTCCTTCTCGTGTGTCGCTACTTTGACGTCATCCATTACCAGGGGAACCCAGCCTCCGAACACGTACATCCTGTTACAGGACAGACGGTTGAGGAGGGAGACAGGTGAGATACTGACAGACAAACCATGCAAAAGGCCACCAGCTCAGAAGTAACGTACACACATCCAGTTACTTGACGGTTCAGGGTATAAAAAGCTAAAGTCACGACAGAAAAAGGTCCCTCTACCTGAAAGAGGAATGTGTTGCTCAAGTTAAAGTAATTGGGTTAACTCACTTGTTGGTGATGGTTGTGGCAGAATGGAGACTGCGGGGAAGAGGAGCTGTACCGTTGATAGACGGCTTATTCCACGTCAGGGTGTCTGCAGAGGAAACACAAGGACTACTCAAGGTCCTGCTCTGAAAGGCCACTTTACTAAGTAGTAGGGATATGATAAATGGGGAGGGGGGGGAATCTTAACGTTTAAACAGCCATTTTCTATCGGATTTCCATTAAAACAATAAGAAAAATACCATTGAAGTAAAATAATTGATGAATAAAAAATACAAATAAAAAAATCATTAAAGATCAGCAGTAAAATAAAACAACAGTAGGGAGACTATATACAGGGGGGTACCGGTACAGAGTCAACGTGCGGGGCACAGGTTAGTCGAGGTACAGACAGAGTCAATATACAGGCTATATACAGGGGGTACCTGCACAGAGTCAATATACAGGCTATATACAGGGGGTACCGGTACAGAGTCAATATACAGGCTATATACAGGGGGTACCGGTACAGAGTCAATATACAGGCTATATACAGGGGGTACCGGTACAGAGTCAATATACAGGCTATATACAGGCTATATACAGGGGGTACCGGTACAGAGTCAATATACAGGCTATATACAGGGGGTACCGGTACAGAGTCAATATACAGGCTAAATACAGGGGGTACCGGTACAGAGTCAATATACAGGCTATATACAGGGGGTACCGGTACAGAGTCAATATACAGGGGGTACCGGTACAGAGTCAACGTGCGGGGGCACAGGTTAGTCGAGGTAATTGAGGTAATATGTACATGTGGGTAGAGTTCAAGTGAATATGCATAGATAATAAACAGAGAGTAGCAGCAGCGTAAAAGAGGGGGTGGGGTGGGGGGACAATGCAAATAGTCTGGGTAGCCATGATTAGCTGTTCAGGAGTCTTATGGCTTGTGGGTAGAAGCTGTTAAGAAGCCTTTTGGACCTAGACTTGGCGCTCCGGTATGGCTTGCCGTGCGGTAGCAGAGAGAACAGTCTACGACTAGGGTGGCTGGAGTCTGACAATTTTTAGGGCCTTCCTCTGACACCGCCTGGTACAGAGGTCTTGGATGGCAGGAAGCTTGGCCCCAGTGATGTACTGGGCCGTACGCACCAAGCTCTGTATTGCCTAGCGGTCGGAGGCTGAGCAGTTGCCATACCAGGCAGTGATGCAACCAGTCAGGATGCTCTCGATGGTGCAGCTGTACAACTTTGAGGATCTGAGGACCCCATGCCAAATCTTTTCAGTCTCCTGAGGGAGAATAGGCTTTGTCGTGCCCTCTTCACAACTGTCTTGGTGTGTTTGGACCATGATAGTTTGTTGGTGATGTGGACACCAAGGAACTTGAAGCTCTCAACCTGTTCTACTACAGCCCCGTCGATGAGAATGAGGGCGTGCCCAGTTGTATTTTTTCCCCCCTGTAGTCCACAATCATCTCCTTTGTCTTGATCACGTTGAGGGAGAGGTTGTTATCCTGGCACCACAACGGCCAGGTCTCTGACCTCCTCCCTATAGGCTGACTGAGCATGCATCCCTGAGGGGCCCCCGTGTTGAGGATCAGCCTGGCAGATGTGTTGTTAACTACCCTTGCCACCTGGGGGCGGCCCATCAGGAAGTCCAGGATCCAGTTGCAGAGGGAGTTGTTCAGTCCCAGGGTCCTTAGCTTAGTGATGAGCTTTGAGGGCACTATGGTGTTGAACGCTGAGCTGTAGTCAATGAATAGCATTCTCACATAGGTGTTCCTCTTGTCCAGGTGGGAGAGGGCAGTGTGGAGTGCAATAGAGATTGCATCATCTGTGGATCTGTTGGGGCGGTATGCAAATTGGAGTGGGTCTAGGGTTTCTGGGATAATGGTGTTGATGTGAGCCATGACCAGCCTTTCAAAGCACTTCATGGCTACAGACATGAGTGCTACGGGTCTTGGGTCATTTAGGCAGGTTGTCTTAGTGTTCTTGGGCACAGGGACTATGGTGGTCTGCTTGAAACATGTTGGTATTACAGACTCAGTCATGTTGAAAATGTCGGTGAAGACACTTGCCAGTTGGTCAGCGCATGCTCGGAGTACGCGTCCTGGTAATCCATCTGGCCCTGCGGCCTTGTGAATGTTGACCTGCTTAAAAGTCTTACTCACATCAGCTACGGAGAGCGTGATCACAGTTATCCGGAACAGCTGATGCTTTCATGCATGCTTCAGTGTTGCTTGCCTCGAAGCGAGCATAGAAGTGATTTAGCTCGTCTGGTAGGCTCGTATCACTGGGCAGCTCGCGGCTGTGCTTCCCTTTGTAGTCTGTAATAGTTTTCAAGCCCTGCCACATCCGACGAGCATCGGAGCCGGTGTAGTACGATTCAATCTTAGTCCTGTATTGACTCTGACTGTTTGATGGTTCGTTGGAGGGCATAGCGGGATTTCTTATAAACGTCCGGGTTAGAGTCCCGCTCCTTGAAAGCGGCAGCTCTACCCTTTAGCTCAGTGCGGATGTTGCCTGTAATCCATGGCTTCTGTTTGGGGTATGTATGTACGGTCACTGTGGGGACGACATCATCAGTGCACTTATTGATGAAGCCAGTGACTGATGTGGTGTACTCCTCAATGCCATCGGAAGAATCCCGGAACATATTCCAGTCTGTGCTTGCAAAACAGTCCTGTAGCTTAGCATCTGCGTCATCTGACTACTTCCTTATTAACAGAGTCACTGGTGCTTCCTTTTTTAGTTTTTGCTTATAAGCAGGAATCAGGAGGATAGAGTTATGGTCAGATTTGCCAAATGGAGGGCGAGGGAGAGCTTTGTATGCGTCTCTGTGTGTGGCGTAAAGGTGGTCTAGAGTCTCTCTCTCCTCTGGTTGCACATTTAACATGCTCGTAGAAATGAGGTAAAACTGATTTAAGTGTCCCTGCATTAAAGTCCCCAGCCACTAGGAGCACTGCCTCTGGATGAGCGTTTTCCTGTTTGCTTACGGCCTTATACAGCTCATTGAGTGCAGTCTTAGTGCCAGCATCGGTTTGTGGGGGTAAATAGAGAGCTACGAAAAATATAGATGAAAACTGTTGGTAAATAGTGTGGTCTACAGCTTATCATGAGATGCTCTACCTCAGGTGAGAAAAACCTTGAGACTTCCTTAATATTAGATTTCGTGCACCAGCTGTTGTTTACAAATATACACAGACCGCCACCCCTTGTCTTACCGGAGTCAGCCGTTCTATCCTGCCGATGTAGCGTATATCCCGCCAGCTGTATGTTATCCATGTTGTCGTTCAGCCACGACTCGGTGAAACATAAGATATTACAGTTTTTTAATGTCCCGTTGGTAGGATATCCGTGATCGTAGGTCATCTATTTTGTTTTCCAATGATTGTACGTTGGCTAATAGGACTGATGGTAGATGGAAGAGGCAGATTACCCACTCGCCGTCGGATCCTTACAAGGCACCCCGACCTATGTTCACGATACCTCAGTCTCTTTCTCATCTGAATGACGGGGATTTGGGCCTTGTCGGGTGTCTTTAGAATATCCTTCGCGTCTGACTCGTTGAAGAAAAACATCTTTGTCCAATACAAGGTGAGTAATCGCTGTCCTGATATCCAGATGCTCTTTTTGATCATAAGAGACTGTGGCAGAAACATTATTTACAGAATAAATTACAAATAACGTGAAAAAAACACACAATAGCACAATTGGTTAGTCGGCCGTAAAACGGCAGCCATCTCATCCGGCACCATTAAATGAGAATAGAAAGAGCAGTGAGAGGGAGAGAGAGGAGGGGGAGGCTAAATATATTGGCACCCTTGCACTTTTCCTAAATAATTCCTTATTTCTTAAAAAAAAAAAAATGAAATTTAAAACAACTTTTGGTCACCACACATTGGATTTTATTTTTTTCTAAACTTAAGTTTACAATTTTAAATTTAGAAAATAGAGACAAATGGCATAGAAAAAAGTATTGGCACCCCCCTGAGCTAGTACATGGGTGCACAGCCTTTGGCCACGATAACGGCAGACAAACGCTTCTTGGGGCTTACCCAATCAATGTATTTTATAAAAGCCCTTTTTACATCAGCAGATGTCACAAAGTACTTATACAGAAACCCAGCCTAAAACCCCAAAGAGCAAGTAATGCTCACCTTTCTACTTTCAACAGCAAACTGCTCGCATTCTTCAATATTTGAAGGATGCCCTCCCCCAACTGCTGTTGTCAGATCTCGCCATAGGTTTTGGATGGGATTCAGACCTGGACTCGTCGCTGGCCATTCCAGAACAGTCCAGCATCTCGTCTTAACCATTCCGGTGTGATTTTTTTGATGTGTTTGGTTTCATTGTCCTGCTCGAAGACCCACAACCTTCAACGGAGACCCAGTTTTTGGAAACTGGGATGAACATTGGACTGCAAAACACCTGATAAACTGCTGGTTTCATGATGCCTTGTGCATGTTCAAGACCCCCAGAGGCAGCAAAGTAACCCCACAGCTTTATCAAACCTCCCCCATCTTTGATTGTAGGGAGGGTGTTCTTTTCATTGATTGTTTCCTTTGGTTGTAAGTGAACACCGTGCTGACGTATTGCCAAAGAGCTCTAATTTTGTTTTCATTGGTGCACAGAACCCCAGGATTTAGGCAGGTTTTTGAGAGGTTCAATCAGGCTTTCTTGTGTCTCCTTCAGCAGTGGGTTCTTCCTATGTTTACCAATGACCAATTGAAGCGTTCAAAGAAAATGAACACCCTCCCTACCGATAATGCTGTGGGGCTGCTTTGCTGCCTCTGGTGGCCTTGAATATGTGCAAGACATCATGAAATCAGATTATCAAGGTGTTTTGGAGTGCAACGTTCAACCCAGTGTCCAAAAACTGTCTCTTGAAAGTTGTGGGTCTTCCAGTTGTCTTCCAGTAGGACAACAACCCCAAACACATAAAAAACTTGTGGACTAAATAAACGCTGGACTGTTCTGGAAATGATGGACTGCCCAGTGAGAAGTCCAGATCTGAATCCAATCCATAACCTATGTTGAGAGTATTGTCTATCAATACACCCTCAATACTAAAATCAAAAGTGTAATTAACTTCTTATTTAGGCTTGCCATAACAAAGGGGTTGAATACTTATTTACTCAAGACATTTCAGCTTTTCATTTTTAATTAATTTTGTAAAAAATGTCTAAAAACATAATTCCACTTTGACGTTATGGGTTATTGTGTGTAGGCCAGTGACAAAAAAATATCTCAATTTCATCCATTTTAAATTCAGGCTGTAACAACAATACGTGGGGAAAAAAGTCAAGGGGTGTGAATACTTTCTGAAGGCACTGTACATCATTTACACTTGTCAGCTCAGACAGATCCAGCTAAGATGCCCATCAGCAGCCGATTTTTATTTATACTGAACAAAAATATAAATGCAACATGTAAAGAGTTGGTCCCATGTTTCATGAGCTGAAATAAAAGATCCCAGAAAATGTTCCATACGCACAAAAATATTATTTCTCACATTTTATGCTAAAATTGGCTTACATCCCTGTTACTGAGCATTTCCCCTTTGCCAAGATGATCCATCCACCTGACAGGTGTGGCATATCAAGAAGCTGATTAAAACAGCATGATCATTACACAGGACCTGGCTCCCCAGTGGGTGGGCCTATGCCCTCCCAGGCCCACCCATGGCTGTGCCCCTGCCCAGTCATGTGAAATCCATAGATTAAGGCCTAATTCGTTTTTTTCTTTCAATTGACTGATTTCCTTCTATGAATTTTAACTCAGTAAAATCTTTGAAATTGTTGCATGTTGCGTTTATATTTTCGTTCAGTATAGCATGGAAAATCAATGTGTTTATGTAACACATTTTTTCTCTAATTTTACATTTTAGTCATTTAGCAGACGCTCTTATCCAGAGCGACTTACAGTTAGTGAGTGCATAAATTTTTCATACTGACCCCCCCGTGGGAAACGAACCCACAACCCTGGCGTTGCAAGCGCCACGCTCTACCAACTGAATCGTTCCTGTATTGTATCGGAGCCCATGTATCTAGATACGCATAAAATCGTCTTGAAAAGGGAAAGATGAACATTTCATAAACCTAGATCACGATACAAATAATATAAATTGGGCATGGGGCCCCTTGAAAGCGCCTGGGCTACGGCATATTTATCTGTTTGGCTACACCAAGGCTTTTTAAAAAATGCCAACACCAAACCTTCTCTGGAGATCTGAACGGCATTTTACTAGTCTGTAAAGGAACCCTGCTTCTGAAGCGGGACTAACGTCCATCACTAGGCGACCAGAACTGTCAATCAAATAATCTCGAGCTCCTGCGTGCAGACCGCTCTCTCCTTGACTTACCAACACTACCATTAAAAACAACACAGCAGCACATCAAATCGGCAACGCTTATTGTTGTCAGGGAAACAACAGAACATTATATGCCAGAGCAGAATTCTGTCTAAATAGGTACAGATGCAGCATTTTTTTTATTTTTTTTATTGTCTTAAAAGTTATTAATTGTCACTATCGACACGTTACTGTAGTGGTTCTCTGTAGCTCAGCTGGTAGAGCACGGCGCTTGTAACGCCAGGGTAGTGGGTTCGATCCCCGGGACCACCCATACGTAAAAATTTATGCGCACATGACTGTAAGAAGCGTCTGCTAAATGGCATATTATTATTATTATTATTATTATTATTATAGTGTAGTTCTATTAACTTTATTGCCTGGCCCTAGCAATCATAAATGCGTAACAGGACCATTATTCTGCATTGTGAATTGACGTGGAATTTTATGATTTGTTCACCGATAAAAACGAAATGGCTGTTTAAAAATGGGAGAAAATCCACAAATCCAGATGTGCAAAGCTGATACAGACACACCCAAGACGACTCAAAGCCGCAATCGCCGCCAAAGGTGCTTCTACAAAGTACTGACTCAAGGGTGTGAACACTTATGTAAATTAGATATGACTGTATTTCATTTTCAAAAAATGTGCAAACATTTCTAAAAACATGTTATCACTTTGTCATTATGGGATATTGTGTGTGTATGGTTGAGAAGAATATCAATTGAATTCATTTTGAATTCAGACGTTAACAAAAGCACAATGTGGAATAAGTCCAGGGATATGAATACCTTCTGAAGGCACTGTAAAAATCGCAGGAAATTACCTTTAAAACTGAAACGTTACCTTTAAAACTGAAACAATCTCTCAGCTCCATGGAGAAATGTGTAGAATTGCAGGAAATTGGCTTAAATATTCCAAAAGTTCTCTACACCGCGGTCATCTGAAATGTTCTCTAAAATCCAGCTGTGTGCCCATTGACACACCTACCACCTAAGCTCCCTTTTGATACAGAAAAAACCCTGAATGCAACCTGCAAGTAAGCATTTAATTGTACCATGTACACCACGTGTATCCTGTGCATATGACAAATGAACTTGATTTGATCTTCTAGACGGCAGGAAATCGACCAATAACTCACCTATATCTAGGACCCACAAATCTCCCAGTCGACAGCCGCTCATACCCCCATAGATGACCAGACGGGACTTCTTGGAGGTCTTCTCTGTGTAGACCACGGCAGTGTGGCTCTCTCTGGGCGGGGGCAGCACCCCGTAGGTGACGGGGATGTCCCAGCCCACCACACTGGAGCCGGCACGCAGCTCCAACGTATACAGATCATTCAGGTATCTGGGAGAGCATTATGGGTAATGATGTTAGTCTTATTCTGTCCCTTACATTCAAAATCAAATCACAACAGGTGAAATGTTTACTTACGAGCCCTTTACCAACAATGCAGAATCTTTTTTTAAAGTATGAAAATAACTGCTAAAAAATATTTAAAATCAACTAAATAAAAAAATTAACTAAAAGTAAGATTATTATTATAAACAAACAAAAAATAACAATTACGAGGCTATACATAGGGGGTACCGGTACCAAGTCAATGTGCAGGGGTAAAGGTAATTGAGGTAATTTGTACATGTAGGTAGGGGTAAAGTGACTATGCATAGATAATAAACAGAGTAGCAGCGGTATAGAACACAGGGACAATGTAAATAGTCCGGGTAGCCATGATTAGCTGTTCAGCAGTCTTATGGCTTGGGGGTAGAAGCTGTTAAGGAGCATTTTGGACTTAGACTTGGTGCTCCGGTACCGCCTGCCGTGCTGTAGCAGAGAGAACACACCTTCCTCTGACACCGCCTGGTATAGAGGTCCTGGATGTACTGGGCCGTACGCACTACCCTCTATCGCCTTGTGAATGGATGCCGAGCAGTTTCCATACCAAGCAATGATGCAACCAGTCAGGATGCTCTCGATGGTGCAGCTGTAGAACTTTTTGAGGATCTGAGGACCCATGCCAAATCTTTTCAGTCTCCTGAGGGGGAAAAGGTGTTGTCGTGCCCTCTTCAAGACCGTCTTGGTGGGTTTGGATCATGGTAATTTGTTGGTGATGTGGACGGAAACTTGAAGCTCTTGAAGCTCTCGAACACGCTACACTACAGCCCCGTCGATGTGAATGGGGGCTCGCCCCCCACTTTCCTGTAGTCCACAATCAGCTCGCCTTGCTCACGTTGAGAGAGAGGTTGTTGTCCTGGCACCACACTGTCAGGTCTCTGACCTCCTCCCTGTCGGTGATCAGGCATACCACCGTTGTCGTCAGCAAACGTAATGATGGTGCTGGAGTCGTGCGTGGACACGCAGTTGTGGGTGAACAGGGAGTACAGGAAGGGAACTAAGCACGCACCCCTGAGGGGCCCCTGTGTTGAGGATCAGCGTGGCAGATGTGTTGTTGCCTACCCTTACCACCTGGGGGCTTCTCGTCAGGAAGTCCAGGATCCAGTTGCAGAGGGAGGTGTTTAGTCCCAGGGTCCTGAGCTTAGTGATGAGCTTGTAGGGCACTATGGAGTTGAACGCTGAGCTGTAGACAACGAACAGCATTCTCACGTAGGTGTTCTTTTAGTCCAGGTGGAAAAGGGCAGTGTGGCGTGCAATAGAGATTTCCTCATCTGTGGATCTGTTGGGGTGGTATGTGAATTGTAGTGGGTCTGGGATGATGGTGTTGATGTGAGCCATGACCAGCATTTCAAAGAACTTCATGGCTACAGATGTAAGCGCTATGGGGCAATAGTGATTTAGGCAGGTTACCTTGGCGTTCTTGGGCACAGGGACTATGGTGGTCTGCTTGAAACATATAGGTATTACAGAGTCAGTCAGGGACAGGTTGAAAATGTCCATCTGGCCCTGCGGCCTTGTGAATGTTGACCTGTTTAAAAGGTCTTATTCACATTGGCTACGGAGAGCATGATCACACAGCTGAAGGCCCAGAATATTTTATACAATGTTGCAAGTTGGCTAGCGCAAGCTTCAGGCCGGACCAAATAGTTTATACAATGTTTCAAGTTCGCTAGTGCAAGTTTTGTGCCTGACCCAAGTTAATAGTTGATACAATGTTTCAAGTTCGTTGCAGACAAGCCATGCGTAGACAATGTGATTTATAGGATAGTATTTTTTTTTAATCAGGATATTTTCTACCTGCAAGGCTGCAATGTTTTTTATTTGATGGCTTTATGTAGGCTATTTTTACATCGTTGGCAATGGCAACAGAAGTTACTTTTCAGGTTTGTATTATTTTCATTTAGATTTGGATCGAATTTTGATACACCACATGACTTATTGAGATATGAAGACGTTATTATAAATAAAACTGTTCCACAAAAACGTGCATATAAAAACCGTAACTGGCACGCAGATCGGTAGAAATAGTAAGATAAATTGGCATTCCACATGAGAAAGGTTGCAGATTCCTCATACCGGTAACTTTAGGAGAGTAACGGCAGAATCTGCGAAAGACAGCAGGAGCGGGAGGGTCAGGTTAAGTTTTTTTTATTCTGGTTATCTAGATCTCTGGCTCCCCTCAAGTCATTTGTGTCTTATTACATCAAACAGTAAGCATCAGACAAGATTCGCGCATATAGTTGATTTTATTAAAACGCATATTTGGAAAAACACACAAAAAAAATCTACCAATCCATTGGTCGAAAGAAAAGACTACTTTCGGTCTACCAAGATTTGTTTTTTTGGTCGGGGACAGCCCTACCTGTAATCCATGGCTTCTGGTTGGGATATGTACGTACGGTCACTGTGGGGACGACATCGTCGATGCACTTATCGATGAAGCCGGTGACTGGTATCCACCTCAATGCCATCGGATGAATCCCGGAATATTGTCCAGACTGTGCTAACAAAACAGTCCTGTAGCTTACCATTCACATCATCAGACCACTTCCGTATTGAGCGAATCTCTGGTGCTTCCTGCTTGAGTTTTTGCTTGCAAGCAGGAATCAGGAGGATAGAATTATGGTCAGATTTGCCAAATGGAGGGCGAGGGAGAGCTTTGTACACCTCTCTGTGTGTGAAGTAAAATGGTCTAGAGATTTTTTTCCTCTGGTTGCACATGTAACATGCTGGTAGAAAAGAGGAAAAACGCATTTAAGCTCTCCTGCATTAAAGTCCCCGGCCACTAGGAGCGCCACTTCTGGGTGAGCACTCGTTTGCTTATGGCCGTATACAGTTCATTGAGTGCAGTCTTAGTGCCTGCATCGGTTTGTGGTGGTAAATAGACGGCTACGAAAAATATACATGAAAACTCTCTTGGTAAATAGTGTGGTCTACAGCTTATGTGTGTAGCAAAACTTAGAGACTTCCTTAATATTAGAGATTGCACACCAGCTGTTGTTGACAAACAGACACACAGAGCTGTGACAGTCAAGACATTTAGTCAGCCGGCTATTCTGTGTTGAGCGGTTACCAAAGAAATAGGTACTCCTATTTGCTTAATTTAGAGTTATTAATGTAACTTAAGTTGTTCAACATACGGGCTATACGTTTTTATTTTTAATACATTGTAAGGCTGCATGATGTGACTAATGATGATTTGAAAAAAGTCGCTTGAAAGGCGAATGAAAGAAAGAGCTCTGCTTTGTTTTTTTGTGCAGGCTGTACACACTACATCAGTCTCTCATTCACAATTTGACAAGCACTTGATAACGCCTAGAATTTCACGGCAGCATCCCCTTTGTGAGGCCGTAATGCACCCTAAAGAAAATCCATGCCTTTTGCGGCCAGTGTCCGTTGTGCCCTTCTCCCCGAGTGCTCCGAATCACCTCTCCATCACGCGATCGGGTCTTTCTCACAGGCTACAAGTGAAGATAGACACATCGGGGACGCAACTGCGCACGTCCTTATCCAATTCCGAGGTGCATATCGAAGATATTGGAAGAACTGTCCACTTTGTCAGCCAACAAGAGAAGGCTTACTAGCCTATGTCAATCTACTATCCCCCATAGTACAAAAGATGACCTCTTCTATTCTGTGCGAGAAATAAATATTCCAAACATAGTCTGGGACAGTTGTGGGATGCGATAGATCCCAAATTAATACAACCACTAGCATCAAAAAAAATTTTTTACGCAATGAGCCTGACGCAACAGATCAGAACGTTTAGCTTAAAAATGTTGATAAACTATTAGGCTATTTCTTCACATTATAAGATCAGCAATGCACACATGGTAGTAGGCTATACACGTTTGAATGTTCCATTAGCGGGAAGACACCATGATCAAAAGTGACCGCAAAAGCAATTATGCATGTAACGCTTTTATTATAAAAGGTGCATTTTTATGGTGAAAATGTGCTTAATATTAGGAAAGTAGAGAAATAAATATAGTAGGCCTAGCCTATAGAAAGCTGATGGGATCCTCCTCTTTTTAGTAGAGGCCATCACTCTTTTCTCACGCAATTGCATAGACTATAGAAATGTTGCGCAACATGAGCTCTCGTGAAGTGTTTGATTAGATTTGCATTGATGTCAGAGTGATTAGCGGGACAATAGAGTGCTGAGTACCAGGCAGTTAGCAAGTTTGGTAGGCTACTAATGACCATCAGCAGCATCAGAGCTTGGAGAAGCCTAACTACCATGACTAAACGGTCACGTGGAATTTGACTGCCTTCATGACTCGTGACCGCCGGTGTGGCGGTAATACGGTCACCGTAACAGCCCTAGACACAGACCACCACGTCTTACCGGAGGTTACTGTTGTCTTGCCGATGCACGGAAAACCCAGCCAACTGCATATTATCCATGTCCTCATTCAGCCACAACTCGGTGAAACATAAGATATTACAGTTATTAATGTCCCGTTGGTAGGATAGTCTGGAACGGAGCTCATCCAGTTTATTCTCCAGTGAATGCACTTTTGCCAGCAGGCCGGATGGTAAAGGAGGATTATCCACTCGCCAACGAATTCTCACTAAACACCCGGGTCTGCACCCCTTGTATCGGCGTCTCCTCTTCATGCAAATGATGGGGGTTTGGGCCAGGTCCGGGAAGAGCCGTAAATCTTTTGCATCCAATTCGTTAAAGAAAAAACTGAAATACGTTATTTACATAAGTATTCAGACCCTTTGCTATGAGACTCGAAATTGAGCTCAGGTGCATCCTGTTTCCATTGATCATCCTTGAGATGTTTCTACAACTTGATTGGAGTACACCTGTGGTAAATTCAATTGATTGGACATGATTTGGAAAGGCACACACCTGTCTGTTACTAAGGTCCCACAGTTGACAATGCATTCAGACCAAAAACCAAGCCATGAGGTCGAAGGAATTGTCCGTAGAGCTCCAAGACAGGATTGTGTCGAGGCACAGATCTGGGGAAGGGTACCAAAAAATTTCTGTAGCATTGAAGGTCCCCAAGAACTAAGTGGCCTCCATCATTCTTAAATTGTTGAAGTTTGGAACCACCAAGACTCTTCCTAGAGCTGGCCGCCCGGCCAAACTGACTAATCGGGGGAGAAGGGCCTTGGTCAGGGAAGTGACCAAGAACCCGATGGTCACTCTGACAGAGCTCCAGACTCTGTGGAAATGGGAGAACCTTCCACAAGGCCAACCATCTCTGCAGCACTCCACCAATCAGGCCTTTATGGTAGACTGGCCATACGGAATCCACTCCTCAGTAAAAGGCACCTAAAGGATAATCAGACCATGAGAAACAAGATGATCTGGTCTGATGAAACCAAGATTTAACTCTTTGGCCTGAATGCCAAGCATCACATCTGGAGGAAACCTGGCACCATCCCGTCGGTGAAGCATGCTGTGGGGATGTTTTTCAGTGGCAGGGACTGGGAGACTAGTCAGGGTCGAGGGAAAGATGAACAGAGCAAAGTACAGAGAGATCCTTGATGAAAACCTGCTCCAGAGCGCTCAGGACCTCAAACTGGGGCAAAGGTTCACCTTCCATCAGGACAACGACCCCAAGCACACAGCCAAGACAACGCAGGAGTGCCTTCGGGACAAGTCTCTGAATGTCCTTGAGTGGCCCAGCCAGAGCCCGGACTTGATCCCGATCGAATATCTCTGGAGAGACCTGAAAATAGCTGTGCAGTGACGCTCCCCATCCAACCTGAAAGAGTTTGAGAGGATCTGCAGAGAAGAATGGGAGAAACTCCCGAAATACAGGTGTGCCAAGCTTGTAGCGACATACCCAAGAATACTCAAGGCTGTAATCGCTGCCAAAGGTGCTTCAACAAAGTACTCAGTAAAGAGTCTTTTTTTAAAAAAATACATTGTAAAAACCTGTTTTTGCTTTGTCATTATAGGGTATTGTGTGTATATTGAAGAGGGGGGGAAAACAATTTTCTAAAAAGTCTGTGAAGTAACAAAATGTGGAAAGAGTTGAGGGGTCTGAATACTTTCCGAATGCACTGTTGGCTACGCAGTACCTACATACCTGGGGGTGTTGTTCTTGGTGGATAATATATATTGATGAAGCATACCTGGGGGTGTTGTTCTTGGTGGATAATATATATTGATGAAGCATACCTGGGGTGTTGTTCTTGGTAGATAATATATATTGATGAAGCATACCTGGGAGTGTTGTTCTTGGTAGATAATATATATTGATGAAGCATACCTGGGGGCGTTGTTCTTGGTGGATAATATATATTGATGAAGCATACCTGGGGGCGTTGTTCTTGGTGGATAATATATATTGATGAAGCATACCCGGGGGTGTTGTTCTTGGTGGATAATATATATTGAAGCATACCTGGGGGTGTTGTTCTTGGTGGATAATATATATTGATGAAGCATACCTGGGGGTGTTGTTCTTGGTGGATAATATATATTGATGAAGCATACCCGGGGGTGTTGTTCTTGGTGGATAATATATATTGAAGCATACCTGGGGGCTGTTGTTCTTGGTGGATAATATATATTGATGAAGCATACCTGGGGGTGTTGTTCTTGGTGGATAATATATATTGATGAAGCATACCTGGGGATGTTGTTCTTGGGGTCCTCACTGTCGTTAGCCAGTCCTCCGAACAGGAAGCATTTGTTCCCTACCAGGGAGAAGCTGTGTCCCAGGCGGGGACAGGGAGGAGGGCCGTTCTTAGGAGACTTGGGCTTCAGACGCTTCCACTCCCAGCGACTGGCCTGGGGAGAAAACGACGACTCACTAACAAGCTTAGTTGCGGCTACAGAGCTAAGATCTCTGATTAGCCTACACCTATTCAAGAATATCTTACGCAAAACATAGAAATGACAAGGAAAATGTGTTATGGTTTAAATTGAGGATGGAAATTAGTACACAGTGTTTACACCCCAAATCCCACTATATAACTGTCAGAGTGATTTATTCTGTGGGCTGAGCACTTACCTGCAGTTCATACAGATCGTTGCTGTATTTACCATACTCCACCATCCCCCCGAACACCAGCAGCCTGGTGCCATCACACACAAACCCATACGCAGCACAGCCAGGCGGGATGTCACCACGGACAGCAGGAATGAACCACTGGTTGGTCGCTGAAACACATCGAATTCATGGATTATAAACCCCGCTAGGTACTGAAGTTACTTTAGTAGTAACCAGCGCTTGGACCTGGGCAGGCCGGCTAATCAAAGCTTCTACACGGTATACCGCTACCTAAAATGTCATGACGCCAACATTTTAGAATACCATAGTAAATGTTTCATATGATACCACCACATTTTTCGGCCCTACCGATCTAAAGAACCCGCCGGCGCCTGTTATAAAATGTTTGTCTCCTGAGTGGCGCAGTGGTCTAAGGCACTGCATCGCAGTGTTAACTGTGCCACTAGAGATCCTGGTTCGAATCCAGGCTCTGTCGCAGCCGGCCGCGACCGGGAGACTCATGGGCGGCGCACAATTGGCCCAGCGTCGTCCAGGGTAGGGGAGGGAATGGCCGGCAGGGATGTAGCTCAGTTGATAGAGCATGGCGTTTGCAACGCCAGGGTTGTGGGTTTGATTCCCACGGGGGGCCAGTATAAAAAAAATATGTATTCACTAACTGTAAGTCGCTCTGGATAAGAGCGTCTGCTAAATGACTAAAAGGTAAATGTAATGTAAATGTTTATAAAGTCCGTTTTTTGTTTATAAACTCTGTTGAATTGAAGTAACAGCCACTAGCCTCTTGTATGCGCCAGTCCAATAATGTCCACTTCACTTTCATGCGCATTATCACGTGTGGCAGCTGTAATCCGCTAGCACATCCCCTACCAGTCATCACTCACCTGCTTCTCTCCCTATCCTGTTCTCGTGCATGTATATTCCTTCCGCCTATTCCTCCAGCACAAATCACAGGTAGGCCTTTGCAAATACTGTATGAGCAACTGTGAATATCAGTGACAGGTTATTGTGTAGCGCACGCCCATAAATGTTTAGAAAACGGGAACATGTGTCCGGGGGCGAACAGGACAATAAGCCACTGAATCTTCCCTGTGGTATCGTGATACTTGGCCTGTTATTACATTTACATTTTACATTTTAGTCATTTAGCAGACGCTCTTATCCAGAGCGACTTACATGAGCAATTAGGGTTAAGTGCCTTGCTCAAGGGCACATCGACAGATTCTTCACCTAGTCGGCTCTGGGGATTAGAACCAGCGACCTTTCGGTTACTGGCACAACGCTCTTAACCACTAAGCTACCTGCCGCCCCGTGTTATCTTATCATTAGTAAAATGTTGGTATCGTGACAACACTAGTTCTACTGCTTGAGTACGGCACCTTATAGAATACTAGCTCAAAAGTATTGCAGAGTTCCTGCACCCAAATATAAACAGGACCAGCACGGCACCTATTTTAGTCCAAGTCAAGCACTGGTAATAACCTGCTTAACTAACAATTGTCAAAAGCCACAGCCTATTAGAATTCCAGTGGAAGTCATTCCTGATGCTGCACCACTAAATAAAGTGATGCTCGTGAATGGGCTGCGTTCTTTGTTGTTTACGTCTTTGTTGTTGGCCAACTCTTTGATATGCCCATTTCACAGTGTGGCTTTTCACAAACACATGCTTATTAAAAACGCAGAACATGGATTAATCATCGATTTAGATCCCAGTTTAATATGCAGTTCCCGAGCTTTGTTGATATTATGACGTCGTTGTTTTTCTATTAACCCGCCATTTCTCTTTGTATGTTCCCTCCAATCTCCACTGGGCGAGTTCCGCTTTGCCAAAGAGGTTCCCAGCTCAGCTGGTAGCCCATCTAACTAGCTACCGGTCCCATTCAATATCACGATACGTCAACACTGGCGCCTTGCACAACACTTCAACCACATACCCACTGTCACAACCACCGAGGTACATTACTAATTTACTGTGTTGAACAACCCATGCATAAGCGGATAAAGCAATAACTACTTGGTGAAATAATTTTGCTAGTTAGCGCTACAGTCCAAGAAATGGTTAACTAGCACAAATTAGCCGAAGGGCAAGTTCGTATCCACTTGCTAAAAAGGTTAGCTAGCTACCATAGCATCTCAATCGTTGATGAACAATACTGAATGTATGCAGAAAGCACGGAACAATAAATATTAACGTTACCTGTGTTATAAACGTGCAGCTCATCCACAATTCCTTCATTGCCTCCCCCGAAAACGACCATCAATTCTTTGATTGCAACTGCACGATGTCCGTGTCGGGGCCGAGGGACAGGGCCGGACCAACCCAACACCCGCTTCCACCGTGGCTGCAGAACTGAGCCAGAGGTCCCAGATGCCATGGTGCCGGTAGATTCAGTCTCTCTTTGAGGGAAAAAAATCCAAATTGAAATGCTTTCCAATATAGCTAAATTGCTAATGCACAACAATGCTAAGCTAACTAGTTAGCTTCTGTTAGGACTAGCCAGCTAACTGACAACAAGCTAGCTGGCTAACGTTAACGCTAAACTAACAGGATTAAAAACCGCGTCCTACTAAAATACGGCACTCAGAAAATATAGAATTAAGATTTGTATGCGTTGTTACCAGGTCAAGACCACTTGTAGATAATTGTATAGAGAATATAAATATGTCCAGGCTGTGGTTGCTAGCTTTCAAGCTTATTTAGCCAAGAAGAAGCACAAAAAAAAAATCAATGGGAGCCGCCATTTTAGCTAGCTAGACACTTAGCAGAAAATATGAAACGTAGATCCGGAACATCATGAATGCACAGCCATCAAAATTGTGGAACTCGCAGACAATTTTTTTGTGCATCTCTTCAAAATTGACGCATTAATTTTCTTGGTTGCAGTTATATTTCCACTGAAGCAAGGCGGTGCGATTCGATGGGTGCCGCCATCTTGTAGCTAACAAACTAAACAAACCACCCAGAAAACAGCCTGACTAAAAAAATGGCAGAGACAAATTAGGCGGTGAACTTGGCTTGCTAACTAAATCGTTTCAGATACCTTTAGAGTAATTAGTGTAGCGAATACCGATTAAAATTTGCAAACCATATTATGGTTGGACATTATTGTCCCGGGAGAAATACTATTGCAGTTGATTTTCATGCTTCATCATGAGCAGAAATGAATATCGAACGTTATTCCGCATATTTCTCAACTTGTTTCCTTCAGTAAACCTCCAATTGTCATATGTAATTGTAGCTTTACAGCCAGGCAAATGTTTATTGGTGTTCTGTTTTGTTGCACTGTGATGGTAGCAAGCTAGCTAACAGACAAAAAAAATGTCATGCCTTTCTGTTCTGGGTGTCGCCATTTTGACATACTTAAATAGCTACAGTAGATGTTGTAAAAAAAGCGCTAGCTCAGCTAACGCATTAGTGTAGCATATTTGCTAGTGAGCTAGCTAACGTTAGCGGATGCTGCAAATTTCTACATTCAAAATAACGTTACTGCCAGATTTTACAAGACATTCCAATACAAACCAGATAGCTAAATGGCTAAGCTAAATAGCAAATGTGCTAACAAGAGCTAACTTCTTAGCTCGCTAATGTTAGCTTCCAGCTTAGAAGCTACAGCTAACGTTTCACTTACTAATATCCTTCTTGACCAATTAACTAAAGCTAGTTATAAACGAAGAACCTTAGTAAATCCTAACGTGATAGAATCATTTAATGAAATTAAGTTTTACTTTATTAACGTCTTTCATTGAAGCATTCATATCAAATAACAGTTATTTTCGTATTAGCCTTGCTAGCAAGTTAGCTAGCTAGCTTCCCTCAAGAAAAATGGCGGAGATACCGTTAGCCGTCACAATAAAACGCGAAAAAAGTTAGTCGCGTTATCATTAGCACATTATACTTACTCGTAAGATGTAACTTTAATCAAAAGTCTCGAGAGCGGGACTCAATTTAAGAATTTGAACCCTGGATAATTCTAAGTTAAAAATGAGAAAAAGCTACATGTTCTCATGCCGCCCAGGAAGCCGCCATTTTCTCATCCGCCTCAAACACCACTTTCCATAAACCCATAGTGGAGAGAGATGGCGAGCACAGTGGACCCTGTCACCAACTCTCACTTATTTCCTGCTGCAGAATGGTTGGTGTTAAGCTTCTAAATGAAAATTCATATAGATATTGCTCATTCAAAGACAAGTTTGATAACACCACTGAAACTGGATAAACGAATGACAGACAATGGCCTCATGGATTGTCATTCTGGCAAACTGCATGCTAATGTAAAGTAGGCTATGTAGCCATATTATTGTGTGAAAAAAAATCACAATGCAACAGTGACACAGCCATTATCCCACTGCTGCTGACACCAATGCAGCAAATTGAGGGAAAATCTTATTACAGGTGGCGATGGTAGGCAGGACACTACATGGCATGAGCCAAGTGTCACTCACTCAGACATATAATTAGGTGACTACTGCCCTAGTTTGATAGTAGAAAATGACTCCACTGAGTGTCAGTTGTCAGGACCCTAGGATAGCTGAAGGCCTGTACCCCAAACATGATCAAGTACATTGTGGGACATGTTTTAATTAAAATAAAGTATAACAATTTAATTACTCTTGATAACAAAATTACTCATGACAGACAAAAATTCACATTAATAGCAAAATAACTCTACTTCGTTAACTGGAGCAGGCTATACATGTTCAGTAGACTTTCTAATCATAAATGATAGTTTTATAAAAATGTAACTCTTAGGTTATGTGTAACTGTCATATTTCATGAAAACCTTGACATACATTGTAAAAATAACAAATCATACACTTTCTGAATTATCTAAAAGATACATTGTGAATACTAAAAAAAGGATGTTATACAAATTGTAAACAATGATTTGGTGTTGAGAACTAGTGGTGTGTTGTGGCCTAGGGCAGGGTTTCCCAAACTCAGTCCTGGGGCCCCCCCCCCCCCTGGATGCACATTGTGTTTTTTGCCCTAGCACTACACAGCTGATTCAAATAATCAAAGCTTGACGATGAGTTGGTTATTTGAATCAGCTGTGTAGTGCTAGGGCAAAAAACAAAACGTGCCGGACCCAGGCCCCGGGACCGAGTTTGGGAAACCCTGGTCTAGCGGTCTAAGCCGTTGCCCCCGGCCCACGTCTATGGAGTCGACATAGGTTCAAATCCAGCCTACTGCCCTTTGACACAACTTTTCTCTACATCTTTCGCTACTGTCATCCACTCTCTCTCTATTTGTTCAATAAAGTCAGAAAATACCTTTAAAAATATTTGAAGAAAAAAAAACTAGTGATGTGTGAAACCTTCCAAGAAATGACTGGATTTGGTGTTGAATACATTTCACTGATTCCCAACTGCATGCTTCAGTATTTTAAATTAAATGGAATATACTCCTATCCTGTTTGTTTGTTACTAAACATTTACTTTGCTCTTCCCAAACTGACTTACATAACAGCCTAAATGTACTGTTGGCCAGTATATGACACACAAACAACTCTGTGTGTCCGTATGTATTGCAGTGTGTACCGGGCCGGTAAGCTAGTTTTACTTTTAATTATTATAATACATTTTTTGACAATTTCTACACACATAAAACAATAGAATAAGTATTATGATTTCTGTCAAACCCCCACAGGCTAGGTTGTTAGCTATGAGTTTAAGTCTGTCTGGATGTGTTGGCTTGACTCTCACTGGCCTCTCATGAAAGGTAGTCAAACTCATCGCTCTCCTCTGGTCCTCTGCTTCTCACTGGCCTCTCCTGAAAGGTAGTTAAGCTCATCGCTCTCCTCTGGTCCTCTGCTTCTCACTGGCCTCTCCTGAAAGGTAGTTAAGCTCATCGCTCTCCTCTGGTCCTCTGCTTGGTGGGTTCATCTCAGCATCTGAAAGATCAATGAAAACCAACAACTACTTAAATGCAAACTTTTTTTTCTTTTTTTCATCATGCCATTGAACAATAATACCGTTATTACAGTTATATACAAGTTCAAATTGTGAAATTAAAGATCAGCTTACAAAGATCATCAGAGGAAAGCAGCTTGCCAGTCTGTATTCTGACTTCCTCATAGAGCACCATCTTGTGGAGGAAACGCTCTTTGCACGCGTTAACAACTACTCCATGGCTGGGCAAACCTGGCAGGGTTATTCCAGAGAGGGCAAGCCTGGCAGGGTTATTCCAGAGAGGGCAAGCCTGGCAGGGTTATTCCAGAGAGAGTGACTATGTTAGGTAACTGGTAAGGTAGGACAAAGTCGATCTGTTCACCAGTGGCAACATGGTTGGATTTAGAGCAGAGGTGCACAACTCTAGGTTTCGAGGAATGTTAGTTGTGGTCATTTATATCGGGTGACTGGTTTATACCTGGGATACCAGGGTTATTGGACATATCTCTGAAAAGCACATCATAACAAAATGTTTTGAAACAGAGAAAAATGAGTGTTTCTTATTGGACATGTCCAGTCTCTCCCTGTTTCACTCCGCTTTTCTTCTATTCTGTGGCAAATGAACACAACCAAGACGTTTGTCCTCTCCGGGGGGGGGGGCACTGAACGAAAGAAACTGAAATCATCCTGACTGCAGCCCTCATGGAGTTGAGCTGTACACCCTGACCCTGACCTCTGAGACATCTGTTCTTACCTGATGCATGGCACAGTGAACTGGAGCGTAGCCAACTGGCTAGTGAAGACCAACCAAAACTGTCCCAGAGGCCCCACCACACGGCAAGGAGGTCTGGGTCCCAGATGCCCCACCACTAGGACCCAGACTAGTGACTGTAGCTCAATTGATCCCCGGGACCCCCGGGACCACCCATATGTAAAAAAAAATTAAAATTTTTGCACACAAATTTATGCACACATGACTGTAAGTCGCTTTGGATAAAAGCGTCTGCTAAATGGCATATTATTATATTATTATTATTATAAGGCAAGGAGGTCTGGGTCCCAGAGGCCCCAACACACGGCATGGAGGTCTGATCTCGTGTCATTATGGGGGAGCTGGGAGGGAGGAGCACAGTACTGGAAGTAACCTTGGCTCTCATCTGATTTACATGGACCAAGGAATGAGGAGGAGGGGTGAGGCAGGGTGGAGGGGGAAGCGGAAGGTGGAGGGGAGGGAGGTGGAGGAGGGGTGAAGACGGAAGGTGGAGGACGGAGGAGGGAGGGAGGACAGAGAACGGGTGAGGCAGGGTGGAGGAGGGGTGAAGACGGAAGGTGGAGGAGGAGGAGGAGGAGGGAGGGAGGACAGAGAACGGGTGAGGCAGGGTGGAGGAGGGGTGAAGAGTGAGGAGTGGAGGAGGAGGAGGGAGGGAGGGGGAGGACAAAGAAAGGGTGGAGGGAAGGGTGGAGGAGGGTGAAAGAGGAAGGTTGG